ATATACATTATAATCTTGAAACAAATTTATACCACTTCACAGTAATATTATAATATTATTTATTCAACCCTCTACAGGTCAAATCTTGTTGTAACAAACAAACAAACAAACAAACAAAAGTTCCCAACAGTTACAAAGAAAAAGTACCCACGATAAATATTGACCCCCAAAAATTATTGGCTAACATATATTGAACTATAAGTTGATAATATTTATTGACAGGCCTATAGGTAAACCCGTCCTGCAGTACAGAGCAGGTAATCTCAAGTTTTTACTGATTATTAATTAGTCCATTATTTAAAGGTGTAACTTTTCTGGTGGAGGGTCCACCATGCTTGTCTCCATGGTGATGTTATTATTTTGCCTGGGATGTTCCACAATAAGGCATTAAACAAATTTAACAACTTGTACTTATTCAATTGCATTTGGTTTTATTTCTCAAAATTACTGCAAAAACATGCATTATTTCTACGAGAGGGCCCACTTCTCCACTTATCTGACTTGTAACTTAGTCTGGTAATGTGGCGTGCTTGTCTCCATGGAGATAGTTAAATTTACATGCCATACTGTAGAACATTCCAGGAAAAAATAAAAACATATCTGAAGTCAAACAGGTGGCGAACCTTATACTAGAAATGTGACACAGTGCACCTTTAAAGTAGACAAAATGGAAATGAAATTCACCATGATTATATGTTGCATGTTTGTAATACTGTATTTGACATCTTCCATAACACCGCCTGTTCTTACTGTCTTCCATTTCAGTAAAGTATTATTATTACTTTGTCATTCATGGCCCCTGTAGCTTTTACTGTTCATATCTAACAACTCCACATTCCTCTGTCACTCCCTTCCAGCTGCCCCCCCCCCCAACCTCTACGAGCGCACCGCTTTAAAAGCTCTCCTAATTAAAACAGAAAGTCACTCTTGGCAGATGGCATGCGGTGGCTGGGTAGTTATTGCCAAGCGAACCATGGCCCCTGTAGACCTTCAATGAAATGAGGAGCGCAGTTCATGACGGTGAGAAGATACCGCCACAGTGCAGGCATCTCTGTCCCACGCAAGGACTGTCACAAGCAGCACTCAGCACTCAAGTTTGTTTTCTAAATTTATCATGGCACATTCATTTCTTATATATAGTATATTAATAAAATAATACAGGTCCATTTATTGCAGACTAAATAAAAAGATTAATACATTATAATGACATTAAAGGAAGAAACTCAAATGTTAATTAGACCATAGTGTTATATTACACTATCAACCATAGGGCCAAGTTACATATTAGATCTGTGGTCTTAAACTATTTTAAATGTGCGACAAAAAATGCAAAATCACAGACACGTGGAGAATCTTATGAAATTTAAAATCTCACAAAGACTTCTACACAGTTGTGAGCATGATCATGTCTGTTGTTTCCTGTCTACAGTAACACCACTCACATTGAGACTCTTAAGTGTTCAAAAGATCAGAGCACTGCATTCCTAGTTTAGATACAAGTGAGAACTCTGTTATTGTTATTTGTGAAATGTGTGCAATACTTCTTTTAATGCATTGAAGCCTGGCAGTAAAGTACACAGGAAGTAGATTGACTATCGCTAAACTGCAGCTTCACCCCGATCTGCCCACTGCGTGGCTGTAAACAGATACACGTGAGGAACTACTCTGGCCTTTTTACTTTTAAAGAAGTTATATTCAATCTGGATTAATAGTGCCGTTTTGTGAACTAGGTGTCATTAGTTGCAGAGGACAAATTAAATGGATAATGTGGATGAGATGCTGCAGTTTATATTCATATATCATAGTTACAACTTCACGAGAGGTGAGTAATAATTATTTTAGCAATTTCCTGAGTTTGTGTTTTGCGCCTCTGTGACTGTCACTCCTCTGACCCTGACGCTCTGTTTTATTGGCAGTTTCCGTAGCATTGCTGATGTTTATTGGTTACGATATATGACAGAGCAGATCAGAGTCACACTGACACTACACACGAGGAGCACAGCGGCTTCAAAATGGGGAGAGGCAAATCAGCCAAAGCCAAAATTGAGCAAATTCTCCTGTAGTGTCTGGCGACCCTAACTTTCCTGAATTTTATTAATTTTTTCACAATGCATAATTGCACAGAAACATATAGAAAGTTATGTTTGAAAAGATAAAAAATTGTGTTTCCCTTTTTCAATTTGTGACAAACTGATAGTGATGCCAAGATATGCCTTTGAAACTCTTTAGCCTTGGGTTGTTTGCTGCACCACCTACATCTGTGATAAATGCCACTGAAAATACATCTGTCTGTGCGTGCACTTGAAGGAAACTGGGAGAAATGTGTTTTAGTCTTTGAATGCTTCACTAATGACTTTCTACACTGGAGGGAGTGGTGGTTAAAAGGATGTCAGAATCTGCACTGACCCATAATCATCTGTCTGCACCCTGTACTAAGACACGTTATGCCCCCGACGGAGACGCAAATGGCACTTAAGTGGTGCTCAAACTTCTTTCTGTGATCTTTGATAAACAGCTACGTGCTTATTAGAAAGACTGGGCTTTGGAGAGGAGATTTAAAGGTCCTATATTACACAAAAATTGACTCTTGTGAGCTTTAAGCCATATTAGAATGCTGTTACCTCATCAAAAACTACTCGGAGTTGTGTTTTGTTTCTTTCACACATTTGAGTAACCCTTTATTATTCTGTCTTCAAGTTACCTGCTACCTTTTACTTTTTGTTCAGTAGAGACTGGCAATTCCAGGGCTGAATTATCCAAATGATTATACTGAATCGAATTTAAAAATGCAGTGGCGCACTTCCTGTATAATCACATGACATGACAAGGTGGAACAGAGAGTTTTTTGTTTGATAGAAGTACTCAGCCTAAATATGTAGGATTTGTGTGATGAGCAATTTAGATAACTTTAATGTCACTTGATGGAACATTTCAGGCAACAGATTAGCATATCTATGGTTCCAGGCCCAAACCTGAGAAGTTGTAGTGTACCTTTTAAGACTTAAATTGTGTTTGTATGAGTTAACTTTTAGTTTGTGGTTAAATTTGTCTCATTTAGAACTCTATTGTGCTAGTTACTGTCCTATTTTTCAACCCTTAATCCTGTGTGTACACTGGTTTAAACTTTTTCAATTGTATCTGTGGATTAGATTTTCCTTTTGGACTTGTTTAATTATTCTAATGTACAATATGCACTATATGTTTAACATGACTCCTTCAGCCCTACATACTGTATATCTTGAGGTACTACTTGGTCTTGATTGCATTGAAGGGACTTTAGTGTATATTTGTTATTGGTACAAGGGCAGCTGCTGGACCCATTTATTCTTTAACACATTATAGAAACTATGATCATATCAGCGAACTGGGATAATGTTATTGCTTTGACTTTGGTACTTTGACACGAGAGGTAATTGCAAATGGAGGATTCAAAGAAGATTTAAAAGTGGAGACATGCCCTTTTTATCACAGGGGCAGCTTTTTGGCAAATTGTCCTGCGCTCCCTCTGCTGGACTGCCATAAAACACTGTATAATAATGTCAAAGGTGACTGTGGCTTCAATGGCAGAATTCACTTTCACTGTTGAGGGCAATGAAATAAGAACAAGCTGAATATATAGCTAAATGTATTCAATTAGACACCTCTGCTGTTTATAATGCAATTAGTTTTATGAATAATGAAATGTTTATCAAATACGTCAGTTGTCAAATGACAATATTTAGTTAGATTGTTTAGATTTGTCATTGAATTTAATTGAAAATTTCTAAAAATCTTACTTGAATGATTCTGAAATACACTGACCATACAGTGGAGAGTCCTTTATATTCTCAGAGCTATAGAGGTGCTTTCTTCCTGCATGACACTGAAGCTAAATGCACAGGCCTCAGTGTCGACATGTAACCCGCTTAAACAGTGATATGTGACAACAGCAGCAGGAGGACCAGCAGCCGTTAGCTGTGATTTATTAGCCTGTACTGCAGCTCCTCCAGGATCACAGCACTGACGAAATTGAATGGCTCTGACCTCTCTCTCTGCGTATAGTTTAAAATACTGCAAGCATGTGTTGACAATATCCAGAAAATATTTTTATACAGTTTGAAAAAAAAAATGTGTTCAAAGCATTTATTTTTTTAAACTTTTATTGACGATTTTAAATGGACTATATAGGATTTTTTTCCATGTTATAAGGTAAAATTTGTTTTGCCCCAGTAGAGAGCTATTGTAAAAGCTCTTACTAATAATGCCTTAGTTGCCTACAGTGCTTTTTCTAATGCACAAAGCTGCTTCACAGTTTTGGGCATTATTCATTCTCTCCACACTCAGTGTTGGTAAGATACTATTATAGCCACAGATGCCCTGGGGCAGACTGAGGAAAGCAAAGTTCCCAATCTGTGCTATAAGCCTCTCTGACCATCACGTTCACACAAGGCAAGGTGGGCAAGTGTCTTGCAGTGATTTATCCTTTGTGAACCAGGAAACAGGCTAAAACTCTGCTCTGTCCTATGAAAGTTATGAAATGCCCTTAAACTCATTGCAGTGAATAATCTGGATGCTAGGAACGCATGAGGAATGTGAGGAATAACTTTGAACCATCACAAACCATTTCAAATGAATTTGTTTTTCAGATATTAATAGGTAAAGTGTCTTTAGGAGGAGTGCTAGTTTTGTCCTGTAAATGTTTGAACCCTTGATCTCAATATCACTGTCTTTTTTATGGAAAACTAGAGAAGAGAGATTGGGGAATAGAACGTGCGGCTTCCAAGGGATTCATGGAAATAGCTGAAGTGGAGGTAATTAGTGAAGCATATCAGAGGAGATCGCTCTGAAGAGGCCTAGATGAGAAGTTTTATCTCTGGCGATTACGGGGACAATGGCTTGGATTCAGATAATGAAGCCAGTTTCGCTTCATCTAATTCAGTCCCTTTGTAAAGTGACCCCGACTCTTTCTGTGCCTTCAACTTCCTCTTCTCATGTTGTTATCACTTCCTCTTAACAGCCAGGAAGACATGCGCCCCAGCGGAGTTCGCCTGCTTCAACGGCCAGTGTGTCCCGGGACGCTGGAGGTGTGACGGCGAAGTGGAGTGTCCAGACGGATCTGATGAGGCTGAGGAGACATGCAGTAAGTGCCATGTTTTAAGTCAGATGCCCTTACAGATGAGACTCTTTATATGGGCTTAGATTTCCGCACAATGTAGAAATGACATGTGCAGCAATGTTGTGGAAGAGTTAGTTTGCATAACATGATCGTTTTTATTTGGAACCACAGTTGGTTGGTGATATTCTCCTATTTCATTTATCATTTTCATTTTCCACAATGTAATTTGGGAAGAACGCTGTAGTAAATCACCACAGAATTAAATAAATACATGAAATAAATATGAATGTCAGGCCAGAAACACACATCAGATACTTTCTGTTTGAACGCATTAGCATCTGGGACTCCAACCAGTCCAATTCTTGTCTATTTTTTTGCATGCATCATTCAGAGTGGAGAAATCTTTTCTCAGTGAAGTATTGGTAACATGTGTTCTTGTCAACTTTGTGAAGTAATGAAGTTAAGTTTTGATGATTTCATAGTGCACTAGCTGTTAAAATGTTCGCATTTTGTCTTGAGGCACACAAACCTCCAGCTCAAAAATACACAATTTGTAAATTTAAACTCTTGTTTCCACCACGGCTGCCACAGAGAGTCTGGTTGTTTCAAGCCTGATTAAGAGTACTGGCCTTTTGCCCATCACACCTGGGTACACTGTCATGCCTTCATCTACCTCCTTCCTGGTCTTGTGCAGAGCTTTATGCTAATGTGCTCCTTATCGGCGCTGTGGCAGTGGTGGAGAGTACAGCCTGTGTCCACCCACACACCCTGCGCTGGGTGCCGTCTGATGCTGTCTGATGCTGAGAGCCACAGAGGCCTCCATTACCTCTGTGCGGAGCCGTTAGTGCCCTGGATTTGTGACTGTTTTACTGTTAGCCTGTGTCTCGCTCGCCCACACCCTTCCTCATGGAAGTTATCACAGGTAACCTCACTGCAGACAAACAGATAAGACAAACAACATGCCTTTATCTAGTGTTATTACCTTTAGCAGTGAACCCATTTCATTGACTGCTTAAATTATTGAAAATGTCTGAACATCTAAATGGGTTTGCAAGTAAATCACAATTCAGAATATGATTCATTAATTACACTACAGATACATTAAACTTACATTACATTGCATAACATTATATACATTTTTATTGTTTTAAATGCAGTTACAACTTTCTTTAAAGGTTTACCATTTAACCTTTCTAGTGGAGGGTCCACCACCTGCTTATCTCCGTGGATGTTAAGTGAGTTAAATGTTATACTGTGGAACTTTCCAGGCAAAGCAATAATATCTCCATGGAGACAAGCAGATGAAAGACCATCCAAAGTTACATATGCACCTTTAATTTATCACTAAAAAATAACAAATTGAAAGCTATTAATTGTTTTGAAGGTTACAATTACTTCTAAACGTGATCATCCATTAAATTAAATATGAAAAATGATGTAAATAAACAATACAAAAGCCTCAGCCTCAGCCCCAAGCCTGTGTTAAGTAAATCAAAAGAGTTGTATCAATAGCATTAAGAAGGCATACACCGATCAAACTTTGATTACGATTTAGTGGTGAGACATGGCATGATTTATAAGACAAACACAGGTATCTTTGCTTGATTATGGTCATGGTTATGTGGGTCAGTTTTATGAATTATCATGCATAACGTGACAAAGCCTTTTATGTGACCTAGAGAAAGTGGAGTCTCCACAGAATCGCACACACAGATATTGAGAATCCAATTAAAGATCAATGAAGGAAGGATTCATCTCTTGGCTGCAGATTAGACAGAGAGAGATTTTGATCAGAGGAGTTGAAGCTATTTATATGGAAATTCAAACATGGCTTTTAACACCAGCTCAGAAAATGTTTTTAGGCAATTTCCCAAACAAGAATCTCTTAATCAATCTTAAGTATTCCAAGCTGCTAAAAATGTTGTACTCTTGTAAATAAAGTTAGATCAGACTCAGATCAAGGCTACATCTTGAGCATATTTTAAGAAGTTCTTAGTAATGCATTTCCTGATCTCTTGGTTAACCAGATGTAATGAAAATTTGTATATTTGCCCCTTTTCCCATTTTAAAATAATTTTTAATGGCAAAATTTAAATTTAAACAAAATTTGAGTGATGAGTCAACTGGGCTTGTATTTACAATTGGTCCTCTCAGAAAACGAGTAGCGTCATCAAAATAAACGAGACAAAAACAGCACAGGAACTTGTTATAATTTATAATTTAAGCAGCCACTTGTGTCCAAATGTTAGGAGGTGTGTTTTGATGAAAATGAGTGCATAACCTCCATGTTGTAAATGGATGTTTTGCTACAACAAGACATGGGTTCCAGTTTGTGCTTCTACTTTATAACATAATGATGTTCAATGCAAAGTTTAAATTATGTAAATCAGAGAGACTGGTGAGTACCACATGCACCACTGTTTAACATCTGCTAATTACATCCAGGCCATGTGCACCTTAATGCCTCACGCTCCACTTAAGCCTGTTAACCTAGCTGCACAGTCACACACATTGCCTTCAAGTGAATCTGGAAATTCTTTTGTACTTTCCCCTCATTTTTAAGTGGCTCTTTAAACAAACATGGACCCACATTTAGCTGTAGCTCCTGGACTGGCTTCTGCAGACATCAGTGCCACAATCTTTTCTGGCTCAATACACTGATTCCCAATTACACGCTGGAGTAGCGTTACACTGTCACATTAAGAATTTAAATGCAGGCCACACTAAGTTACTTGCGAGGGCTGAAAAATAAATGACTCTAGAGAAACATGTGAAATGCAGAGTTCTTGTATCAGATCTGGAGAAGTGGGGCACTGCAGCCAGCTGTGCCGTCAGCATCTCTGTGGAGGAACCACTCTGTCACACAAGAGTCAAAAGAAAGGAAATGTCAGCTACTTTCTGACAACATCTGCTGGTGTGAGCACAGGCAGCGAGCTTGTCCGCTCCCTCTTTGCTTTGTAATGTCTCCATATAATGTGGGCTATAATCCACCGAGACTGAGTGGGTGGCAGGGACCAACAATAAAGAACTGACAAGATGAATGCAAACAGTGAGTGAAAAATTGCACTTTGATACAGGACAGAAAGGCAGCCACAAGTCACAAACTACTATAGTGTTGTTCCAATTACAAGCCCGGGTAGAAACTTTCTTTAGACCACTATTTCTCTCTGAAACTTACTTGAACAGTAAATAGTGTGCCAACATTTGTACAGTATGTGACACATTTTTGATATTGAAGAACAAGCAATAAAGACCACAATGAAATATTATACTACTATTTTTTGGACACTATAATTAAATGCACAGTCCAAAATAATTAAGTATTCACATTCAAATGAACGAATGCCTAGTTTCTATACTAGTTTTTGTATAAATGAGTACCTGGGTAATGATTTTTGTTAACCATAGACTGTGATATCAATAAAATATCAGCAAATAAAATATCAACATTTGAAGAGCAACACTTCCTCACTCCTAATGTAAAGCATATTTTTAATTTATTGAATATTTTAAAATTGAGACACCTTCTCAGTTGCAATGATAACGTGGCATGGTTGATTAGAGTGGAGAGCCTTTGAGGCATGTCGTTGGCTGTTATATCCCTGGAAACGAGTGAAACATATGTCAGATTATCTTTGCCACTTTTACATCTCACACATTTGGATCAGTTCCAGGGTAAATGAGCTTGCTGACTTTTTGACTTGTACTGTTTCAGAGGGTGTCAAGGACAAATGATTTTTTAAATTAATTAGGATTTTAGGCAATTTATAAAACATAGTGAATATTAAAGCTGTATAATGTTTAATTGATTGGCTAGTGTAGTGTACACAGCTTCCTCAAAAAAGAACAATTATAGATATTCCTCTGAAGACACTTCTGATATGTTCCTCTAAAACCACTTTGCAGATAGTGAGCTTCACAGTCCACTGAGAATTTGTCTAATTATTCTGTCATATAGGCCTCCATCTATATTGGCTTTTTAATGAGGTGATGAGAAGATTGTACTGTACAGTTTTCAGCTTCAAAATCCAGATTTTATATTGATTTCATTTAGACTTTAGTTTCTTCTAATGCATTTTCCCTTTCTCATTTTTAGTATTCAGAAGCTATGAAATCTCCTTTTTGTGTATCTCGGATACCAGAAGATTCTCTCACTTAGTTGACAAGCAGCATGTGTGCTTGGCTGTAGTGAATCTATCATTTACAGCGCTGGACAGAGCCGCACTGAGCCAGACTAATGAAGCAGTGACTCACCACAGTCACTTTCTTCCACTCTGAGGCAGAAACAGCTCACAGCACTGACGTTAGTCTAACGTTTTTCTATTGTCATGCATGCACCTATCTGTGACTGGTTTGGGCTAAGTCTTCTTAATACTTGTGCAAATGAATTGTAAATTGCTCACAAACTGGTTTAGGAGGCTTAATTTATTGAAACGTGAATGAAATTATAAGTACAAGCTATAAGACAATTACTCACCACTATTGCTGTTGCAGGATTTGCAGAACCAACTGATAAGTTTGTTCACTAGTTTTTTCAGTAGTTCTAAAACTAAACTAAACATGACCCAACCTATCTAACATGGATCTAAATCATATAGAGATTTCAAGTTGTATCAGAAATTAACATGGTTAAAAAGGACAAAAGATTCAACACCAGTGAAGATAAATTGGTCAGTTGATAATCATAATCAGTGAGGTCACAATATAATTGTATAAACTATTTATTGTGACCATTTTAGAAGAAAAATGAAGTCAACTTACATAATCACTCTTTGTCTAGCTATTTATTTTATCATTCAGAAAGTTTTATTTAATTCTGTTTAATTTAATGAAATCACACACTTGAAGAATGGCAGTCTATAATGTCATGATTGTTGATGATGATTAATTGTGAAACTGGGACATTTCTTCCATCATTAATGTAAGGACTGTTATCAAGTCACCTTCCACCTTAAATCCTGAAGATCATTATTGTACTGTAGTCTCACTCGGGGAATTGTGAAATGCATAGTATATTTTCTTACATCATCAAAGTTTGCCTTTACCCATGGCTTAGAGAACTTTTTACCTATAAACACACTAACTTTGTAAAATCAGTTGCAAGTCTTTCACCAATGTTACACACTGAAATAAAGAAAACCATCTCTGTTGACCCCACCACTGCCAGGCTACGGTTTACACACATTTGTCCAGTTGATTTCTCAGTGATTTTCCTGAAAGGCCCTGTGTCCAGAGCAGAGCCTGACAGCAGTAACAAGGTCAAACCCTGTGCTCATATAAAAGTAAATCATTACTCTCTGACTGTGTTGGACCCAGGGCTGCACAGGTCTTGTAAAAGGGTATGAATTGAAAGCGGATCTCCTGCCAAAACGCCACAGCGGAGATGAATTCCCATTTTTCACTCTGGCGGTAAACAACCCGCCGGCCTCGACGGCAGTTTATCTGTGAGTAATTGGCTTTTATTGTGTCGTCTCCTCCTTGAGCACAAACCCATCACCTGTGTCTTTATAAAATCACTACTTAAATAGTCAATATCCATCTATGGTCTCTGCACTGCACGCTCAGGTTTGGAGTTCTGTTCAAAGGGAGAGGGACCTACCATTTCCTCAATCAATTTACATTCGGAGCCAGTTCCTCTGCTGTCATCCGCCATCTTTTCACTCACTGTGGAAGGCTTTGATATATCTGAAGGAGAATTCTTTCACTGTCCCTCAGCAGATTTTTCCTGTGCACTATCCAGAGGGGCTGTTTTGTGTTTTTTTTTATTTTTTTCAGCCATCTCTAAGACGTATATAACTTTTAAAACTTTATTTGACTAAACAGAAAATGTACAAAAAAGTTATTTTTTGATGGAATAAAGTGAACATTGATTTGGTCCATCAATGTACCGTGACTGAAGTATTACCTGACAAGCCAGAACCACATGCTTTGACAAAACTTTACAAAGACGAGTGGATCTGGAGCCGTGTCCTGCCTCCTGGATTTCAGTGGGTGTGATTGACAACTAAACTAACCCATCAGAAGACTCCATTTGCATCAAACGCAAACTTGGCTGCTTACATGTAAAAAAGAGGAAAAAACATAAAGTACTGAGAAACTGATTTTTGCAGAATCAACAGTCGACGCACCAAACTATTATTTATCTCATGTAAAAGGGGACAACACAGGGTGAAAATCCTCCACCCTAACTTGAGACTATCCAACCACAGCTGGTAAGGCTGGTCAAACAACAGACAAACTTGAGTAGGCGATAGGTGAAGTGTCTTGTCCAAGAACACAAAGTCATTGGTTCAAAGTTGGAATTTAACTACTCATACTAACATTAATTACTATTCCTCTTAACCTCCTTTGCTTTGACTACCACATAATGTTTAGTTGTGTTCCATGTTAACAAAACAGTAATTAAAATTCTAAGGACTTGCTTTGTTCGCCACAAGTTGCTGTCTGTTCAATTGTTTGTGTGGATTTTGCTTTGACAAGACAAATCAAAGACAAAGTATACCTACCTGAAATAACAATGTTGTAACAATAAAACCACAAACCATAATTTAGCTTTGGTTGTGCTTTGTCAGTGGCCTTTTCTGGGCCTAGTGTAGCTTTCTGTTTGCTTTTTGCAGCCTCAGCTAGTTGTCTCTCTCTCTCTCTCTCTCTCTCTCTCTCTATTTCTATTTCTCTCTCTCTCTCTCTCTATTTCTATTTCTCTCTCTCTCTATTTCTCTCTCTCTCTCTGCTCCCTCTCCAAGTGGGCACTCTAGTCCACCCTCTCCCTGACCTCCTCATGCTGCAGGGATAGGCACATGTCCGGACTGAAGATGGGCATCATGGTTTACTTCACCTACCCCCTTTTTCCTTCCAAGTTAAATAGTCTCTTCCCTCATTAATTCTCACTGGTTTCCTGTGCTATTTGTAGTATGTTGTTTGTTTGTTTGTTTGGAATAGCTATTTACTATGGCCATAGTCTTAATTTTTCATCATTGTGAAACCCATGGATAGCTTCAGTACTTTAATGGCATATCCTTAGCTAGTAGTGAAGTGAGAGCCAATGTATACTATATGTCTATAATATTCTGAGAGATTATATTTTCATACCTTTTCACGCCTGTTACGGTGAACATCCTTAGCCGATATAATAGTTTCTGAGCACCAGGAAGAAAGGACACTTACTGGATTACTGGAGTTTGACTGACTTATATCAACTTGTTTTCAGTCTGTCATTAAATTAACTATAACAAATCAGTTTATTAAAACAAGTAAACTCAATCAATAATTGTTTTCAGTAATATATTAACAGTGTAAACACACAGGAAAAAATATTCAAAGTACTCTGTTGACACACACTTTAAGCACAGTTAAAACAGTGCTCTATTTTTTTACGGCAGTCCAACAAACAAATTAATTAAAATGGAAGCACAATGAATTGATTTTAAGAACACAACATGGAATTATCTATCATAACTCTTTACGGTTACGCATTAAGAGAAATCCACAGTGCAGCTTCACGCCTTCCTCCAATAATTAATTATAGTGATAGAGTAAGGTCTGATTGGTGTGAAACAAATGAGGTTCCTTATCTTAGAATTAGATGTATAATTTAATTTAAACATAAATTACCTTACCATTTAAAGTGCAAAAACATGGTTCAAATGCTAATTACAGTACTGAATTTCTACTGGCGACTGTTGTGTTTACACTGACATAGCTGACTGACTGAGTTTTAGTTACAGTCATAAAAATACACTTGTAATGAAACATGTCTTCACTGCTAACAATAACCCGCACATTCTGTAATTCCCGTATATAAGCCATTTGAAAATTGAATATAACGCTCATGTTAACGCAGCCGTGAGATTTCTTTGAACATCACACGTTGACAATATTTGCGAATTATATTTCACTGGTTGTGCTTTTCTTATTGGCTGCTTTGGGGTGTGCTAGAAGCTGAGATGTATAATTAACAACATGCCTCATAATAATAAAAAATAATCTAGATCAAACCCACATTGTGCCAACTCGAGCAGATTGGCATGACATGGAGCGAGAGGGGGCGGTGAGTATTTGTTATATTTCACAATGTTTCTTCATCTCCAGCCCAGACAGTAAAATCAATAGGGCAGGAGTTGTGGGTGAGTTTTAACCTCGTCTTGGGTGCAATTGGATGTCTAGCGATGCCACCCTTGTTCCTGTTATGTTGGGCCATAGACCTCCACTGTAATCTCACTCTCGATATGATTTGTTTCGACAGGCAAACAGACATGCCCCCCGGAGAAGTTTGACTGTGGGGGCGCCACCAACAAGTGCGTGTCCCTGTCCTGGAGGTGTGACGGAGAGAAGGACTGTGAGAATGGAGCCGACGAAGAGGACTGTGCAGCTGGTGAGCATTTAAAAGTGAAAACTGAGTATAAGTGAAAACAAAGAACAACAATGTACTGCTATTCCAGAAAGGATGTCAAGGCCAACTGGCACATAATACTGGTGCTTTTCAGATTCTTGAATGTGATTATAGCATATTCCCAGATATGAGAGTCAGTTTTTCCTATTGATACTCATAGCTATAAGCACTGCTCTATCTGGGGCTTGTTAGACTTTAATCTGAGCTGTATTTGAACACAATCTGACCTGAAAGCACTGATTTAGCTAGAATAACAACAAGTGATCTGATCTGTGCTGTTAAACATCTCTTACACATGAAATTACAGTCACAAGCTCGCTATCCAACAGTATCCCTCTCACCTTGTTGCTGAAAATGAGACACCTATTTTGTATATTTTTCTTGAGTTTTCAGATAATTTACAACGTTTTACTAATATGTGCATTGTGTTACCATGGTAACTGATGAACCGTCCATGAGATACAGATATACATGTAATGCACCTCCAATGTGAGGCCATTGAAAACTATCAATCCATGGGTTTCAGTTTCCTGTTTATCGGTTTACATTTTGAGGACTTTTGGCCATTCAAAAGATGTAGTGTTTTGTTTTAAATGGTTACTTGCTATGGAAACGGTGCAAATTTTTCATCACTCTCTAACCCGGGATGGTATTATCATAGGAAATAGCTGCAACGTATATTCATAAGTATATTCGTAAGTATATTCATAAGTATATTCATATTCACCTAATAATTCCTGTTAGTGACTACTAGACCCTAGAAGTTGCTGTATGATAGTAACATTAAGCATTTTAACAATATAATTTTTTTTTTGATTTGTAGATACTAGTCTATATCAAAATATTGAACAGTTATCAATACTGGCATATACGTATAAGAGCACAAAATAATAAAAAAACAACAACTTTATGTTAAAAATTCAGAAAGAAAAATGAAAAAAATCATGACAGGCCATTCACTAAACCAGTCAGTTTTGAAAAAAAAAAGAAGAAAAAAGCAACCTTATCTCTAATTGATCATTTTATAACCATAAAGAGCCAGTGAGACAGAGTAGTTTGAAGTGAATTCAACTGAAGCTTGTGGAGCGATACCCAGAGCTCTGTGATATTTAATTTGTCATTTCAGTTATGATTGAGCCTTTGTCACTGAAGTCCTCACAACTCTCAAAAATGACATCACCTCCCACTTAGCCAATCAGACGTGTTTGTGATGGCTCCCCCACCCCCACAGCCTGAAGGGACTATCCTTGCCCTACTTCTGAAGTGCCATGAAGAATTGGCTTCTCCTTCTCCATTGCTCCCTCGCCTCCTCGTGTTAAAGAAAAGTGATTGATGCTTAAAGAAGGGTGTGGTATTTGTGTTTCTTGTTTGAGTAATGTACAAAAAACAGAAACACGTGGTAGAAAATTCACTAGAGAAAACATATCCTCTTACTATTATTTTAATTCAAATAATGTTTTTTTTTTTTTCTTGTTTGCTCCCCCGCAGTTGTTTACATATGTGTGGGAGGAAGTAAAGTCTGGCCTTTCATTTATATATTGCACGTTTCGCCAAAGCATGAAAAATCGCATGCAGTTCAAAATGTACATTACCCTTTTTCACGCTTTATTTCGTCCTACTATAAGATCTTTAGAGGCTGCAAAGTGGCCCGTCAATTCCTGCCTTACTCAAAGTAGCCCCACACACATGCCATGCAAGTGGTAGTGATTCATCGACTTTAGATCTAATGCCTTCTTAGCTTAGATGGCTTTTTACTGTGCTGCCCATTGAGATGCAGTCTAGCCTGTGCTAATCCTTTTCTTCATTCTAATGTCTGTATTGATGCAGCAGCTGTAAGCCTCTCTAGTGGTGACAGGGGGCAGGCATGAGGCAGCCCCCCTTCCTTACACCCCAGCCACACAAAATACTTAGCGAAGAAGATTAAAACTAGTCTCAATTGCTTTTGTTTTTTTTTTACGTAGAGATATAAAGCTCCATAGCTTTAAACTATTCATGAATGTAATGATCTTCTCATGCTCTCTTATTGTATCTCCTCCACCACTCTTAGGTAGCTTACACACTCACACACACACACATGCGCGCGCGCACACACATACACCCTCACATATACAGAGAGAACCATCCTGAACCACCCTAAATGCATCAGGAGGCATTATGTACAGTACTTACTCTGAACAGAGGAGAGACAGATATAATCTGTAGTCTAAGTGCCACTCAGGATGCTTTAAACCAGGGATGGATAACAAAGCTTATGTCAGTGACAAGCTGTCTCAGAATATCGCTGCTATTGCTAAACAGGTGTCTCCAAATGTGACTTTTAGTTATTTAACATGTTTCTTTCGTCAGCGTCTTCTTGGCACCTTAATATCAGAACCTGCCTTCTGTCTTCTGTAGCAGAGGTATTTCAGTGTATATAACTCCTGCCTAGCCCGCACAAATCCTTTGGCGGTTTGCGACTATGCACAGCTTTAGGACAGCTTTCTCAAACTGCAAAGCAAAGTAGGGTGGGCTCCTATCGCACAGTCAACACGCCCTCAACTCAAAGTGTATTAGAGAAACAAGTTTTGTCTTGTTTAAGTTAAGTAACACCCTTTTTATTTTGTATTTGAAAACAATAAATAACCACAATCCACTGCACTGGTTTGTGGTCATGTGATTATGGTTAATTAAAGGGGCTGTACCTTAAATAGATGTCCAGTTATTCCTCACTTTCCTAATGTATCCCAACCATCCTGATGATTCACAGGGATGAATGCCTTTGAGTTACTCTGATGATTTTACAGTGCCGTCACTGGAAAGGCTAATGCAAATTATCATGCTAACAGAAGATTTCCTGGTTCCCAGATGATAAAACTTTTCCTAGACAGCATAAAGACAAAATATTGTTTGGCCAGATAAATTTCCCCATAAAATGTGTTGATTTTTGAATAATCCTATAGAAAGGCCTCAATTCAGTAACAGCTCTTCATATTCACAGCCATGTGTGGAGCTTCAATTTGTGCATGAGAGAGACGAGGGGGCAGGTGTGTGTTACCAGAGGAGCACTATTATAAATGCAGTGACAAATCCAACTGCACTGTATGCACTGTGGGTTTTGGGTGGTATTTCAGACATTCTTGTGTGGGTTGGGTCACTAGAAGTTGGCTGTAGCATAAAGAATAACGCTTTTTGTGACCAAGTGAACTAGTTTTTCATAAGCTGTGGCCTCTACTAGTAGTGTTTGAAAAACTAGAGGATCCGGTTGTAAACTGGAAGCAAAACAATTTGTAGGAACGGTTGGAGGAGGTGGGCCAGAGTACGGCACGGTTATTCATGTATGCACACACGCACGGCTTCACTGCATGAGCCTTAGGTGCACTGATGTTACTCATAAGAGGTAAACACAAAATAAAGTCCACTCCAAAACGGCAAATTCACACTTACCTTTGGTAAAGACTGTGGAAAGCGACAGAGGTTTTGCAGCCAGTCTCCTCCAGCTGTCCTCACTCCTCACTGTTATTATAGCCATAAACTCAGGAGGAAGTATCGCAGCAGGGCTCATATTGGTCTCACTATTTAACAGATATTTCATGCCGCTGGACTTCTTTTCTCTGCTAAAACCAATAGCTCTGCAGGTGTTGGGGCAGGTAATTACACAGTAACTAGAGATTACTGGAGGTCCCTCAGTAATGAGAACTACCCCGGGGTCACAGCAAATTATTTCACCCCACAGTGGGAACTTCAGTCGCATGCTTTGACTGTTGAAGACAGAAGAGAGGCACTTCACTGACACTGTTGCAGAACACTTCATGAAAGTACCCAGAGAGTGGGACATCGAACATAAAGTTGTCTCACTGACAGTTGTTATGGTTTGCAATAAAATAACAAACAAACATTTGCACAAAGCAAGCCTATCCATTTTTCTATCTTGACAAGAATATTAAATTGATGATTCAAGGGACAAAAATGTTCTATTAATTTGCAATTAATCGTGAGTTAACAATGACATTCATGAGATTTATCATGATTAAATATTACAGACACTATTACACTATTACAGACACTACTATATTTCAAAACAGCAGACATTTTCACTTTTAGTCCAAGACTTTGAAAAGAATGAACTGAAATGCGGGTTTGAAAAAAGTGCCTGAAGAACAATAGCAACTGCAACACAATGATAGAGTAATTAGTGTCTAGTAGTAAACACTTAAAGTGGATGTGTCTGTAAGAGCTGCAGACTGGAGCCTTCAGATCTCTCACATTGGCAGTCAGGGCGCGTGGAGCGAGGGAGGAGCGCAGGAAATTACCAGTTGGTTTGAATGAGACTTGGTGCGTTAGTTGCGGGCTTGCTGCTGGCACCGGGGCAGGGGAGCACACTTCAAAGCAGCGGATAACACAGCTGTATGTTTGGGTAAAAGGAGAGGAAAGGCAAACCAATGATAAAGGCTGCAGCAGTGGCTCAGCAGTCCTGTGTGCAGTCCCCTATGGGGTCAGTGAGATACGGAGAGCACTTGAAACTTACATTTTACTGTACAATAAAAGAAAACTACAGTATATAGTTGGAGCTATAGAAGAGCAAGTTTTAAAAGAAACAGAAACAATTCACCCAAAATAACCAATACAGCAGGCAGATTGTTATAGTAGCTATAGCAGTCCTTACACTCTGCTTAATTACCTGACCGACAAGCTAATAGTTCCAACTAAATATGTAAAATGTTTACCCGTAGTGCATACATTTGAACTTTTTTAAATAATACAATAGGAATGAAGGCCTTTATGTTTGATTTGACCAAAAGGTGGTTTCACACTCCTCGAATAACATAAAAAAAATGATCATTTCATTATCATTATCATTAATTAGTTTTTAGCTAGTCCATCTGTCAGCAGTAAAACGGTAAAGCCTGATAAGTTGCTTAAAGGTACACTATGTAGCTTTTCTGTAAGCTTGTCTCTATTGAAACATTATTGCTTTTCTTGGAATGCTCCATAATATATCTTTTTCACAACTGCCGGAAGTCCCAGCCCATAGAGTTGTAGAACTTCTGGTTAGTGGTTTTCTCTGGCAAAATGTTCTTCCATGAAGAGTTTATCTTCAACTATCAAGATAACAAAGACAAAGGCTTAAAGGTGAACAACGACTAGTATTAGCCAACTACTTCTGAGCAAAACTAATGTTATGGTAATGAATAACGTAAGTAACTAGTAATTAATAATAAATATAAATAATTTCATACTGTAGATATTAGCATAGATAGATTTGTGCACTTCAAATGCTACAGATGTTCACAGATTACATGTGTAGCATTCAAACTGCACATATCTCTCTGTCTATGCTAATATCTACAGCATGAAATCGATGTTTTATTTTAATTATAAAGTCAGTCTGAGTTTACAAGTTACTTAGGTTTTATTCATTACCAAACTTACCAAGTTAGTTTTGCTCAGGAGTAATGCTAGTCATTGTTAGCCTTTAAGCTTTCGTCTTTCTTGATAGTTGCGGATAAATTCTTCATGGAAGAGTTTATGTCCTTTGTGGACCTTGTTAGTTGAAGATTTGGAGATGGGGCAGGCAGATTTATGAAACTGGTGGAGAATACGCAAGACATTATCACAGACATTTTGCGTTAGAAAACCATTAACCGAAAGTCCTACCATGCAGGACTTCGGTCCATCGTGAAAAAGGCCTGTATGGCATTAGAAGGCAGACAATGCCACTGGGTCTAGTTACTGGTCAGAGGTTTGCAAAGTCAACCCACTCACAACACGAATTTGACAATTTTAACATTTTTAGTACTGAAATTGAGTTGGATAGATATAGAAGTTTAATGTCTTAACATGGAACATTTCAGACAATGCAGAAACATCATAAGCAGGTTGTGGACCCTCCCTTCCATTTAGTTTAATTAAGATAAGTTACACATTGCACTTTTAAAGACTGAAAAAGGTGTGCATACTTTAAAAGTTACATTAGTATACAATTATCTTAACACAGTTTTGTTTTCTGTTAAAACTTACTGTCTGCAAAATCCTCGCAGGCTGGTAAAGTAAATCTTTCCAAGGCTTTTCCTTAATTGAGTCATCCACATGGTGAATAATGCATTAGGTAGAAAGAGTGTCTCAGTAGAGAAAGCGCTCTGTGATCAGCATTACTCTCAGTCACAATGAAGGAGGGGTGGCGAGAGCTGTGTCCTCAGTCTGCACTCAGGTGGAGTTTAATGTAGAGTCAGTGTCAGGGCATCTCTCCTGTGCACCGCTGTCTCCTGGGATTGGACACACTGACAACAAATAGGAGTCTGAGGTCTACTTCAGAACAGCTCGTAGTTGTGTTTGGGCTTTTTCCCATGTTCATTTTTCAGACGATTTTGTTAGTACAAGTTGAACTGTCAGTACCTGCTCCTTTAACAGCTGCGCTAAAATGAACAGAAGGCTCCAGATACACACTGTGCCACTGTGCAGGGCCCAAGTTCCACAGTCATTTTATTCTCTGTGCAGTACTTTGTACAGCTTTACAACGAGTTTTATGACAGGTAAGGTGCAATCCCATATTACATTACATTTAGTTACATTACATGTGTTTAATGATAAGTTCTGAACTTAATGACTTAATGATACATTTTAATTTGTTACTGCTTGTGAACATTGACAGGCTAAAGTTTTTATTTAAATCTGACCTTCCGCAAATAAGTAAGTACTTAAAACAACAAAGTACTATTTCTATTTTCCTTCATACATATCAGATGTAGTATCCACCGTCTGACCATAGCTTCACATGTATCCAGGGCTAGCAGTGGTCCTGTGGTGTTGTTGTGGGCTTTTTCACACGCTCGTCCCTGCTCCTGACTCACACGCCACACACTCATCAGGCCTAATGCGAAGAGAGCGACCAGTCAACTCTTGCCTCAGCACTGGTTGCTGGTAGCAACAATCTTCTATCATCGTTGCTGCCAGAAAAACACTAAAGTGGGTTACGCGAGATGAGAAGCCTTTGCTTTCCACTGTGCTAGTCAAAGTAATGCTTTTCTTCTAAATGAGGCAAGGGCTCTGTCGGAGTTTGAACAGCTGAATATGTTTTTCTTTTTCTTTTGTAATGTTATTCAGTATGTTTAACCTTAATTTCAGTTCAGTCTTTATACTATACATGCAAACACGTTGTATACATTAAATCCAACATTAAATATGAATGAATGAATGGAAGATAGTTTTCAAAGTGCTGTATTGTCAGTCTGGCCTTAGTACAAAGCTGTGTCTCCAGTGTATCGAGGCCACTGCAGCACATCACTAATGCTCATCCCTTGTGTAAAGTACAGAAGTCTGTTGGACCTCTTTAATTATTCAGTGATAGATTAGTGTGAGAATAAAGATGGATCATAACAGGAGGAGGTATAAAGCACATCCCTATCTGAAGTAGCTGGTTTACTGTAATATTGATGAGTTAAATGCCTTATGTTCAGCTGTATATGAAACACATGTTTAAGGTTTGATTTGCTTAGTCTGCCTTTATGGTGTGCTCATGTATGGCAGATCAAATCATAGCTATTCCTTTTACACAGTCTAAGTAGGACACATCTTCAGACCTGCTTGTAGTTGTGGGTGTTTTGTTATAAGAGTTGCAGAATGACAGCACATATAGTATGTTGGTGTGTGGAGGCATATATACATACGTACTGTGCATATTGTGTATTTCCATTTTATTTTTACATTACTTATTTAAACTGGTGCATTATTCATTACATTGACTTTTTTAAAGCAAAATCTTCTCCACAGAGTTTAAGGCACTCTTTATGATTATTCAATTTTCCTTTCTGTTTTGTCTAAGGTTCCTCTTCTCTGTTTATAACTATGCTAAAGAACTGCTCTTCCATGATTAGGCTTGTCATGATAACAACATATGAAGTGTGATATATTACTGTAGTAAATAGATGATAAATGATAATATTAAAACCAAACAGAATTATCCCCCAGAAATTATTCAGAATGTGTGATGTGTTACAATGACAGGCCTATCCATGACCACAGCTTGCACACTGTTTCCCTTTTGTATATTCAAGCTTGTGTTTTACTTTGGACATGTTTAGATACATTTTCATTGAGAAAGAAGAATGTAAAACAGTCCCTTTCAAAGCACTTGCTGTTATTCCTCCCTGGACTCAGTAGATACTGTTGAATTTGTTCTAGTCCCTGCCATGCTTTCTTTGCTCTGTCAACTCACAATGGGAAAGCTGAGCCGCAGCGGTTTTATCCAGATAAAGTTAAGACGTGAGACAATAGGATGGCTGAGAGAAGCACTGAGAATATGCTGTGGTACAAACTGATACTTTATACAGGAAAAGGGAATGTCAGGGTCCAATATGCTCTGACCTGTATGTGGTTTTTAGGTGTACAAAATTGGATCTGATAGGAGATGTTTTCTTATTAGCTGCACACGAAAAAGCGACTGTAATGGCAGTGTAGCAGGAGTGGCGTCTTGCTGAGAGATGCTATCACAGAATGAAGTTCGATCATTTTCCCTCGTGTTCTTCTGATAGCCTCTATTCCTCTCCATCTCTGCCAATACAGAAGTAACAAATTTACCAGAAAACTTTTTTGCCCACTGTTGGTCTTGTTAACATCAAACCAAGACCTAAATTTCTCATTTTTGTCTTATTTCTTTTTTCATCAAGTTCTGTTATGTATTTCATGTATTTCATAACAAAGCATCAGCACACAGTATTTGAGTTTTATTTTCTAACTTGGTATTTTACTTTAATGGACTTGTGAAGTGTTAACATTTTAAGATGTTCTTTTTAGTGAGCTTTAAGTTTAGCTGCCAAAATCAGACAATTAATTCTTATTAAAATCTTATGTATACTTTCATTTTTTCTCTGAAAAATAAGAATGCCCTTATGTTGACGTGACATTCAAGCTGATTGTGATACAAGGTTTGATACCATTATGATATTCAAAAGTAATTCAACACAGAATAATAGTTGTTTTTTTGATGTTATCAAAGAAACATACCAGTTCTAATATAGATCAAGATCATTCTGTAATTTTTAAGGAATGGTCAAATTCTCTCTTATTTATGTAATGTATGTCCGTATTGATACTTGCTTATATGAATTTTGATACTAGGGGGATGAAAAACCATCAATTAATTTATATCTGGGTATTGATTAATTTGACAATAGTAGCACCTAAATCAACAAAATCTTTTTGTTTTTTTTATGCCTCTCTAGATGCCAAAGCTTGTCCGGATGGTGAATTCATGTGTGCCAATCGAAAGTGCTTGGCTGCTGTGTACGTGTGCGATGGTGACGATGACTGTGGGGATGGCAGTGATGAACTCAAATGTACCTCTCCCAAAACCTGTGGACCCAACCAGCTCCGGTGCAACAGCTCCGAGTGTGTGCCCCTGATGTGGAGCTGTGACGGAGACCCCGATTGCTCGGACAGTTCGGACGAGGGACCAGAGAGATGCGGGGGCGAGGGTGTCCCGTACATCAACAACCGAAGAGCCAACTGCACCGAGGGGGAGTTCAGATGTGCCAATGGAGAGTGTGTGAGGCTGAGCTGGAAGTGTGATGGAGACCCGGACTGCAAGGACAAATCAGATGAGATAGACTGTCGTAAGTAGACATTTTATATTTATTTCTTGCTGTACGTCAAAGGTTAAGATCTGTGTTTGTGTGTTTGATCTGTGTGTAACCAAAAGCCTGTCAGATCAATGGAAGTAGATTTATGAGGACTAACTGCAGTTGGAATGACTCACATATGGGAAGATTTATAAAGCCGAAAACATAAACTATTCATGGCGGGGCCTCCAATATTAAGTATCATCATCAAAAAAAAAAAAAGATTTGTCTTTCCAAGCACCAACCGATGTATAAGTAAAAGTATATAATGGGACTATTCCAGGACTAATCTGGGCTAAACCAGGTCTAAAAGTAGATTACATCATTTCCACTGTAGTTTTAAACAAGTTATTGTCCAAAGATAACTGGAAGTGGAAATGCATGAACAGACATACTGTATACTGAAGAGCTGTCCAAGTACCACCAGAAGTTTGAGAAAACACTGATCTAGACTAAATAAAGCTTTATTTACAAATGCAAAAATATCAATTTGTTGATAAAGCTGATGAGAGTAACTTGCTATCTTTCTGAAATTAAAAAGACACTCAATAATCCTGGTCTCCTGGTGTCAAACACCAGCTTCTGTTGAGACTACATAATACATGTCATTACACAAAAATGAATCCATGGATTACTATAACTGACACATTAGTCATCCTGGCTCATCCAGTGCTTATAATATGATGATGATTTAGTGATGTACAACATTCAGGAGAAATGCATTGGACCACTGGAACTTACGAATTCTGACACATTCTTAATTTTTGTTTAGTCTGAACCCATAATACTTTCATAATAAATGTTAAATACTGTCACAAACTGGTTCAGGTTTGGACAAAATGGAGTCCACACATGCTGGGGTCGTCAGAAAGCCAAAAAAATGTACCATGTGACCACCAGGCATGTTTACTTGAGAAAAACATGTTTTTCCTCTTGCTTTGTTATCAATTGACTGTGCTCCCTTTGCAGTGTTTAAATTTATTTGTGTTGACAAATGCCTGGTAAAGATGTGGCCTCATGATAAAACAGGTTTTGCTTATTAAATGGTCATGGCTGAAGGAGTCGCTGTCTTCGTTCTGTCTGTGAATCTGTGATAGTTGTAACATTCATTATCAAGGCGCCCACATCTAACACCCACAAGTGTCATTAATGCTGCTTCTACAAGGGATATCTGTCTTGTTAGGTTACCGAGAGGTGCAGACATTGTTAGCTTCCTGTGGGGCCATGGTTGTTATAAAGCAGCCATTTTATTTTCCCATGTGTGAAATAACCAGAGCATGAAACACTGACTTATTTGCAAATCTTCAGATCAATCTTTTAAATTGTAGGAAAAGAAAATGAGTTTTTGAATGTGTATGTAGTCCATGTCTGCGGTTTGGCCATTTCAAAGAACTGGTCCAAGCTCTATCCTATTACACCCCCTCTGTCCTGCTTGCCCAGTGATAACACTAAATCATGCAGCCCTCAGCCATGTATATTGCCTTTTAGTGCAGTTTAGAGGAGAGTTATATGGGCACAGGGCCGATGTTGATGAAAAGCTTCTTCGAGTCTGTGTTGGTAATGACATTTTCTATGGCGTCCACCTGCCACTCCAGTCTGTGTAATATGGAGAATCATTTGTCATATACAGTAGGAGTAGGTTAACTGTTAATGTAGCACCACAGTGTTTTTAAACTCCACACACCTTCACTAGAATCATTTGGATAATTTCAGCTCTGGAACTGGCAATCTCTACTGAACTAAAGGTAAAAGGTAGCTGTTAACTTGAAAACTACCACTACGTGACATCACAAGGTTGAGCTTTGGAGATGCAGACAGACTAATAAACCAGAATTACTTGTGATTACTTGTTTGAACATGTGTGAATGAAACAAATAACTCCAGGTATGTTTTTGACGAGGTAACAACATTATCACAAGAGTCAATTTTGTGTGATATAGATCCTTTAAACAAAACCAGGAATTTAGCTCAAGGTTGAAGCGAAAGGCAGTGACAATCCAGAAACCTGTTCATTTGCACTTTGTAAACATCTGGCAGCTTCTATTTGTGGAGTTGTATTGCACACAATGGTAGGAGAACAATTGTTTCGCCTTAGAGAGATTTTCATCCCAGTCTCTTTTTCGTCTCCACAGCCCTACTAACCTGTCGTCCCGATGAGTTCCAGTGTGGAGACGGCTCCTGTATCCACGGCACCAAACAGTGCAACAAGGTGCATGACTGTCTGGACCACAGCGATGAGACTGGCTGTGTCAACGGTGAGGCTTTTTACCAGTAGTGCTCTACAGTTTCTGCATCTGAATTTATGAAAAAGGTGGTTTATTTTGGATCATAGTATTTTGTGCTTTTTCTGACTGGCTTCCTCTGTCTTCAATGAATAATTTTCTGCAGGAAATTAAACCCTTCTACTGTGAAAATGACATACCTGAAAATCATATTACATTTTTGGTGGCTGAATGTTTTTGTGGCTTATGAAATATATCTGTACACAGAGGCAAATTTTCATTTCTATTTTTCAGCTACAAAATGTGAGGGCCCCCTGAAGTTTCTTTGTAAGAATGGAGAGTGTATTGACAGCTCCAAGGTGTGCGACTCACACAAAGACTGCAAGGACCGATCGGATGAGCCCAAGAAAGAATGTGGTAAGGATCAGAGCTTTTGTATTTAAAATATAGCTGCATAATTCTCGTCTGTTGTATATAAAAGGAATCTGTGTATGTTTTAAGCAGCTCTTGTAATTGTGTCCACTGAGGAAGTTTGTTTCTCTGATAAAGCTCCTCCATACACCTACATAATGGCTTTTGACTGAAGGAGCAAAAACAAGGAAAAAGTTTAACTTTATAAATCCACTGACAGCATATTTGCCCTAAATAAAATTAAACACCTGTGCACTAAATGTGTTCACCATCACTTAATGAGTACAGCATACACAAAAAATAGGACTTTGTAAAAGATCTGGCCTTTTACTGTCCTTGGGGTGACATTACACAGCTGAAGTAGATGTGTGTCAGTTCCATTGCCCATAGCTAAACATGTAACATGGGGGCTGCTCACATCATATTAACCAGGAACTAATATTTATGAAGGAAAAATGACAGCTGGCAGAGTATACCGACCTTGAGCAGGAGAAGCATGACCAAAATGTCTATTTCAGAAATCTGCAAATCTGCTCTGCCTCTCCCATGTGGTGTGCCCTCTGTCCATCCATCCTCCCTGTCTCTGATTCCTCTTTACCTCGGCTCAGGTCCTGTCCACAGCTCATTAAAGCCATGTCCACACACACTTCGCTCATCGCTCAGCTCACTCAAACGTTCACTTGCAAGATGTTCCCCTCCTGGAAAAAATAATAATTTAAAGAAACAATTCTGAGGTGAAAGAATTAAATGTTAATTCTTATTGCAAAATCTTGTTTTGTGCACTGCCTTATTAGTGGTAATGGCCTTCTGGATCATTCATTTACCTCAGCACCTCTTAGGAGCAAACAGGAAGTATAGGAAATATAAGGGTTACCATGGTGAAGACGGAGGCGGAGAGCTAACTCAGACATCATATTTATCTGCTCAGAGGACATACTGTCTGCACCTGTACAGCACGAGTGTCCTTGAAAGCAGAATCCACTGTACACTTTTCTATACAGTACAACTCATATCTTAAATAACTCTATACATTCTACATCTATTCTGCTCCTATCTGTGGAAAGAGAACTGAGAAAACTGGAGCAGTGAGAGTGACTTGGCTGTAGCCTTTCCAGCTGAAATGGAAAAAGGGATTTTAAAGTTGGCATTTGCTGCCCTCAGCATCCACTTTGAAAATGTGCACAAAATGCGCTCTGACTTGGGCCACCTTATATGTTTATTTATGTCCTAGCAGCTAATCTGAAAACATTATTTAAAATAACAGTTCAATCACGAATATCTTGACTTCTGGTAAGGTAAACAAATGGGAGATTCTGCACTCATAAATTCTACAAAATAGCTTACCTGATCAATTTGCATCTCATCACCACAGCAACAGTCAAAGGGAACTATGTGTTATTTCCTGATAAACTTTTTTCCTGCTTGGATTTATTATACAGCTTCACTCTCTCTAGTCACACAGTAGACAATGCATTCTCTTAGAGCCCAAAAGCCAGTGTTTAATGAAATTCTGTTCTGTTATATTTTTGCTGCCTAGTCATAGAATGTATTCAATTCACACATTAAAAATGACCTTAAACTCTGATTCAGTGACTCTTCCGCTCTCTGCTCTGAATCATAAACTGTGCTGGGTATTTCCACATCTGTCAACATTTAGTCCTTTTAGTCCAGCCTTGAGCTCATCACCAAGACCTGCTTTAATAAAAGTGTTGTTTTTCAGCTTTAGATGCACTTCACTGTTTAAAACTCATAGTTACGGATTACAGCATTAATCTTCTCTTATAGTTTTTAAAGTTCTTAATGTTTTGTGTCTTTGGTGTTTGTGGAAAATATGAGATAAGAATTCGAGTGCATGCTGAATGAAAAACCACTAAGATAAAAACATTACGATATAAATCCTTATTGGCCCGAGCCTGTAACAGAGTATCGGGTGAGGGCTATTGCTCTTCCCCTGTTTCTTCTTCTCTATTATTATTTTTCTTTACAAAACCTTGCAAAAAATGTCCTCTTTCTTTGATGACTTCTGATGGCCACAGGCATTGCCCTAGAGAGTTTAAATTCAAATCACAAATGATTTGATCCTGGCCTGAACATAATGCATTATGAAGTTTAATACAACTGAACACTATAGCGCCCTCTACCATAGACATGAAATGTCAGCATTATTGGATTTCTACCAAATTTGGGTTTACAATCTAAGCATGACTACAAGCAAAAAAATAAATTATGGACATGGGGCATTTTTCACCTTTGGTCAGCAGTTGAGCAAAGACTTCCCAAAAAATATATTAAAAAAAAATCATAGACACACATGCATAGTCCGATTCAAACTGAATCACTAATGCATGATCTCGGCTTGAATATACTGTAATACACTATAAAGTGTTAGACAAGTATACACTGTAGCTCCCCCTGCCATAGACATGAAACATCAACATTATTGGACTTGTACCAAATTTGAGGATTAAATTCTATGAATGACTACAAGCAAAAAAATATATATTATGGACATGGGGCACTTTTCACGGTTGATCAGCAGGGGTGCAAACAAAACAAAAAAACAATAAACAAATGGAAACTACAAACAGTAGGTCATGTGGGTGGGGCATGTACATGAGTGACTTTAATTAATTTGTTTTTCCTTTTTATCTAGGGTTAAATGAGTGCATGATCAACAATGGCGGCTGCTCTCACGTATGCATGGATCGACCAATTGGCTACGAGTGCCAGTGCCCTGCAGGTTATCAGCTGCTGGACAAGAAGACCTGTGGAGGTAAGTGAAGAAATATTCACAAGTGTTGCCTATGGCTGCCTGAAACATTATGCAAATATGAAGTAACATTCATTGTGGGGGGTCAGGCACTTGCTTGTCTCTATGGAGATGCTGTTGCTTTGCTTGGCATGTGCAACAGTGTGGCATTTAACAGATCTGTCTAGCAAATATTCAATTATGTGTGTTTTATTGCAAAAAAGTTGTAATGTTAATGTGCTGCAACTCTAATGTCTGGTGTCACTCACAGACTATATATAAGTAAACATAGCTAACTTACTATATACTTATATACACTGCATATATTTTTAGTATGGATTTGGACTATGGATTTAACTATTTTCATCACCAAAACAACTATTTGAATATCACATTATTCTAGAAAATATATGATCCATTTCAGCTACACAGGAAGGCAATGGCAGAGCACTTGCTACTTAGATACTGATGGACACAGATACATTTGGTGGTGTTAGACTGGCCAACCAAACGTGTCCAAAATGTCAGTTCCACAGGAAAAAAAGCTTTTCACACTGTCACACTTGGAATATCCTTCACACTTTCACACCTTCTGTAGCTAAAACACCCCACTTAAATCAACTGAAGGTTGCAAGAGCATAACATTGATTTTTACATTTCTTCATTTGACATTTTTTAGATTTAAGTAAAATATTTATTAGAACTGAACTGTTTTTCTGTTTGCAGATATTGACGAGTGTGAGAACCCAAATGCTTGCAGCCAAATTTGCATTAACTACAAGGGAGATTTCAAGTGTGAATGTTATGAAGGTTATGAGATGGACCCTGTCACAAAGACCTGTAAAGCTGAGGGTGAGTACTGACACAAATTCAAATATTTACAAATCATTAAAATGTAGTTTAGAGCCTTTATTTTTTCATTAATGAATCCTTTATTTTGTTTTCAAATAATAACTTGGCCTTCTGCTCTTTTGCTCCCATAACCATGAACCTCTTAAGTTGTTTGGGTGCTTTTATTGCTCTTGTTCGTATATTTACTAAACGCTCCCAAAATGGCATCCCCAGGACAAATACAAAGTTTGCCTTTTGGGTACGCCTGTCACATCCTATTAGAAACATTGAGGTGTGACAAACTGGAGTGCGAAGCTGTGTCGAACACTTATAATGAGTCAGAGCATTTCTTTAGGGGCACCTAGCTTCATCTCAATGGGGACTAATTACACTACATTTAATTTGCTGTGCTTTTGGGCATGTTGACAACAGTTGAAAATAACTCAGAACAAGTGAACTGCTAAGAGGCCAATTAATTTCCTTTGACCCAAAACTGTGTCCAGCAGCTATCGTCTGGAGGATTACAGGACAGGGGTCAGTTTACATGCTTACACTCCGTTTTGCTTAGGCAGCTTAATTATTTATTTAGCAGAAAGCGGCAAGTCAAATTTGCTACTCCACGTCCCATAGATGCCAAATATTGATTTCATTTGCCTCAATTAAAATGGGCTGATACCATTTCCAACAACATGAATGCTAAGCCTACATTTGAGAGTGCCTTGGCTGCTTGTATGTTGATCAACCCACGGTGCCAGTGTTATTTCTGAGTTGGCTAACAGTTTTTTGTAGCCTGTGAGAAAAAAGTGTCTAAAAATCAGTCAATACAACAGGAACAGCATTTGGCTTTTACTGGATCAAAGCAACTGTAGCCTTCACAGCCTGGAAACAGCAGGGGAGCAATTTTCTCTTAAAGGGGGTTGAAAATATTGTCAGTTTAATGGACACTTCTTCAAATGAAATGTTAGTGCTGAACTATCTGTCACTGTACACCTCAAGAGGAAGAGACAGAGGAAGTCCGGGGCAGTGCCGTCATGTTTGGTGGATTACAGCATAGCGGGTTAGGCAGGCTTGGGGTCTGACTGTCAGTGGAGCTAGCTGTCTTTTAATGAGAGAATTCCATATCACCCTCTGGAGATAACCGGCTGCTGCTGCCGTCCCATTACACAGCAGTGTCAGGAGCACAGAGGCTTAATATAGATGTTACCAGACAAAGGTGACCATCTGTGTGGAGCTCATGGAGGCAACGAGGAACATCAGACTGTTTCTTAAAAAGTGGAGTTTGTGTGGATTCATTGTGTTCAGTCCTGTTACGATAATTACTATATTGACTTATTGTTCAGTGTGTGAAAGCTGAAACAATATTTTTTGGGAGTCAATATTTATCGTGTGTACTTCTCCCTTTGCATGACTGGTAAATTTTGGGTTATTTTTTGACTGTTTGATAAGATTTAAGCAGTTAAAAGGTTGAATTAATAACTTCTATGACTCATTACAAGTGCAAATACTAAAGTGATTTATTATGCTGCTTTTTTATTGCAGCTCATGTTTTTTTTTTTTTTTTTTTTTTTTTTTTTAAACAATATTTCACATTTAAAATAGTTTTTGTGATTTAAATCTGGTCTTCAAAATGATCATATAACATCAAGTTTAACTTCAGCAAAATAAAAATATCCCCAAAAAAAAATCACTTCAAAATTTGTTATCATGACAGGGCTGTGTTACTATTGGTTCTCTTTTTCACATTGTAAATAATGTCCATGCGTTTGGTGAATTAATGACTCTGTTTAATCACATTAAGAAAAGCAGGGACTCTTGGCGATGTGCAAGCACTTTTAAGGCTGACTTGAAATGGTTTGAGATTTTAAAAAGTGAATTGAATGGTATTTGAATAAAAAAAATAAAATAATAATAATTCTTACACCCTTGAGTGTTTTGAACATTAATATAATTAAAACAAGAAAAAAAAAACTGCCTAAAACAACTGACCAGAGTTAATTTGGTTGGATAGACTGCACCCTAACACCCTAACTATTGTGTAATTAAAATTTCAGTTGAGTAAGAGAAAACATACATCTGAGTGAAATACAGTGGATAGAAAGAAACTCATTGGTAAAATTGTGGTCTTCTTTCCACATTCTCCCTGCACAGCTGATGCATCTGCATTGATTCTATTTGTTTATCTGCCTCGAGACGTAATCACCGTCTGCTCACATAATCAGCAAATGACAATTATGTTTAAATGGCATTTAATTGGTTGATCTGTTTTTTAATCTTGTCACGAATTCAAATCAGATAACAAGTCTGTATAGAGCGAAACTTGCAGCCATTCTTTGCTTGTCGTCTTATTCGCCCAATGTCTCGTGTGTGTACTGGCAACTGGCAAAAAAACTGATATGAACACAGAGGTGCCACTGAACTGTATTTGCTTGGGCTAACAAGATGTGTAGACTTAATAATGCATGAGGACACAATCAATACCACAGTGATACTCTGCACTTTTTAATCAAATAATTTTGTCTTCACTTGTTGGCAACAGACACTATTGAATTACTCTGTTAAGATTGCATCACAGATTTAGCTTGAATACCATCACATCCAAATATTGTAGAATGTAATTTTTCTTCCAGTTGGTCTTATACACTGAAAGGGCTGTCACATCTTAGTAACCTCTTTCATAACAATTACTAATAATCCTGCCACAATAAATACTATATTGACTTATTGTTCAATATATAATAAATGAAACAATATACGTGCACTTTTGCTTTGCAGTAGTGGGGTATTTTTTTTTTTTTTACAATATAAGATTTAGAGGGAACATGTAGTAGAACTAATTACTTAAGTGTTTTGGTTTTTTTAAAAATATATTGTACATTTGAATAGATTTTTGGGGGAATAATTCAATTTCTGCTTTATGGCTTGGTTTCAACATTGTTTATCGTCTATGTTTACTTCAGCAATATATATCGCAAAATTTGTTATTGTGAGAGGCCTAATTACTAGTAATAGCCAAATAACCTGGTATTATAAACGAAGATCTTTTGTGTTTCCAGGAAAAAGCCCGTACCTGCTTTTCACCAATCGTCATGAGATCAGGAGGATGGACCTGGGGAAGCGCGAGTACAGTCAGGTAGCGTCAACGCAAAAGAACGTTGTGGCGCTGGACCTGGATGTGGCTAATAACCGAGTGTTCTGGTGTGACCGGTTTCACAGGAAGATCTACAGGTGAGTCCAAAATCCAGCTAAACGTGGAAGGATTTGAGTTAGAAATAGACAGATAGATTGGCTGGCCATTATATCAGGCCAATATTTGGACCTTCTATCGGCTTCTACCGGCCTTAAATCTCCAGCATAGGCTGATATTTTGCTTTGGTCCATCCGCTGCCTAAACAATACACACAAACGTGTAATAAATTTATATTACATAATTTGGGATAAATAATCAAAATCAGTTGTTAATATGAAACCTCATATATATTTTATAATTATCTAAATTGGTGAATTAAATGATCAAGTGCATTGCAGAATTCAATATGTTTTTGTAGTGATTTGAAGTGAACTATAATCATTAGTATTCAAATATTGAACAGCACAAACCAGCTAACATAAAAAACACAAAAACAGCACCAATCAAATGAGACTACAATACATGATTAAAACATTTTTATATTCTTATTCTTATTCTTTATATTATATTCTTATTTTTGCTTAAATGGGGTAAATTAAATCTCACAATAGAAATAATAATTTGACCATTAGACTAATTAAAAATATAACTGCTGACTAATCAACTGCAATGATTGTTTGTTGTCACTGTAACAACAAATCCATAATCAGTAAATTAGTATTTTATTTTTCCCTTGCCGAGTCACCACAGCAAATGATCTGCTCACTAGCTGAGAAACAGGTTTGATTTTATGGGGTTCATAAAATGTTAATATTGACAAAATACTAATTACAAAGAAATGTTTAATAACTGTATTCAATATTGTATTATATTTCTCCTCCTATGCAATATTTTTAATTACAAAACTTTCTGTTTTCAAACATCTATAAACTGGCTTCACATTCCTGCAGGCAGGTTATTCTAATGCATTCTACGTACCAAACGCACTTATCCCATTGTTATCTCAGATGTCCTTTCCCCCGAGTGCCCTCTAATTGGAGCAGCATGTTCTCTTTACAAAGTGGATATTAGGAAAAACATTCTCTGGGGAAACTAAAAATTGTAATTCCTGTTAAAGTTGCACCTCTGCTCTGGCCCTCACTTGCACCATCTCACACCTATAGCAGGGGCCACGTCATTAGCAGTCCAGGGCAGCGCTGACGGGGGCCTTGTCTACTCTGATGAGTGTTCTACCTGTGATGCACTATGACCGCCACATGACCCCTGTTCAATGTCTGGCCTGAAGGCAGTAGTCCACTCCCCACTCCCTCCCCACTTTACTGCACAGGGGCCATGATGAATTAGTATCCTCAGCACACACTCTACGGAGCTGCTTTGTGATTTTAAACCATGTGTTCAGCCACTTGAAAATGCTATTTGGCTGTTACCTGGTGTTTTTATTTTCCACATGCACCCCAGACAATTTTGATAAATTCACCCTGAGAATATAAGTCTTCATTTTGTTTACAATTGGTTGTTATTTATGTGCTTACTGAACTGTTCCCCAGAGTTTATAATAGAATAATCTGTAGTCAGTAACTGTCACTATATATACAATGGTTCCTTTGTAGGAAAGATACTGTTATTAGCAAATAATACGGAAATTGCAAGCAAGCAAGACAGCAAGATGAGATACCCATGGCCACAAGAGACTGTAAAATTGGTTTGTACGCAATATACAGTATAATTTAATGGAAAAGAGATTTTGCTATGATATCTGAGGTCGATCTGAGGCATATCATTATAACTTTATACCTCATTTTATTATTAATTTTATTGAATCTAGATTAAACCCTTTATTTAGTCCTTTTGGTATCTAAATTAAACTATTCAAAATGTTTTTAGTGTTATAACCTTGGATAAGGATTAATGTCAGTAGGATATCCGATTATTATCACTTTACTTATAATATGTTTGTATAATATTTATCATCTGTAAACTACACAGTGACCTATCCCCTGCTGTCCTTCAGGATTACACCTCCATCATTTTCTTCTTCTTTTCCTCTTCCTGCAGCGCATTCATCCATGAGGCCAGTGACCCGTCCCAGCAGGTCCCCCTAGTGGACTCTCTGCTGCAGACGCCCGTGGGCCTGGCTCTGGACTGGCTCCAACACAATCTGTACTGGACAGATTCTGGGGACAAGTCCATCTCTGTGGCTTCAGTGGACGGAACCAAGAGACGAGTCTTGATCAACACAGACCTGAGTGAGCCGCGAGCTATCGCCCTGGACCCTCACCACGGGTACAAACTGATGCCTTTTTTTACAGTATTACAGTTAGATCAATATGAGACTGGTTGTGACATGTAAGTTTTGAGCAATGTGAGTGAGTTGCCTTGCTTCAGGAGTCACAACAGTACGCTAGGTCTTGTTCTTTAAACTCAGACCCATTCAAACTTTGTTAATCCATGACGGAAATTAATTGGACACTGTAGATTAAGCATGCAATATAAACAACATCAAGCAAAGAATATAGTTTTCAAGAATAATAAATAGAACAAATGGTGGCATGGCATGGTACTAATATACAGATTTGAGCAGGTGGTGCTGAATGGACAGCTCCTAATTGTTTTCACCAATCAAATTCTTTGGTTCTTGCTGATTTTGACATCTTGAAAAATTTGTAATTTGGACAGAAAACATCTAAATTAAGTAAAAACAATATGCTTTATGTTTTCTTTCAGCTTTATGTACTGGTCTGACTGGGGCACCCGAGCGAAGATTGAAAAAGCCGGCATGAATGGAGTGGATCGCCAGGTGTTGGTGGCTGATAACATTGAATGGCCCAATGGAATCACATTAGGTAAGAAGGTGGACTCAGGACACTTGTACAGAAATATCTACCATCTCCTGCAAGTTGGAAAATGAATAGTATGTTTAATTATAGATGTTTATTAAATATGACATAGATTTTTCCATTGATCACACTTTTCGGTGATTAAATTCTGAACTGTTTGAAAGCTCACAGGTGGACACAGTTGGGAGTTGAGGTGGATTTAATAGCGAGAAACTGACATTTTAAAAGGCGATCAATATTACCTAAAGGGATTTGTTGGTCAGAGTGCAGCAGTGCTTACTGCAAAGACAATCAATTTCTGCTGGGCTTAGGGACGTCCTGTGAGTACGCTGGTTTTGCATGTGTGTGTATTTTTCCTCAGATGTAGCCAACAGACGCTTGTACTGGGTGGACTCCAAACTGCACCACATCTCCAGTGTGGATCTGAACGGGGCGCACCGCAGGACCCACCTGTCATCTGTGGAGAGACTGGGACACCCCTATGCCCTGGCTGTTTTTGAGGTTTGTTTTGTCATGACAAATGTCTTGCTTTGTCTTAATCAGGGATGGGACATAAACATCATTGCTAGAGTGATCAGACCACTGACCCACAGGTTGACAGTGTGATTCTAGCTCCCACAGATGAATGCTTAACCCTTATCAACCCCCAGTGTCTGTATGCACTGGTGTGAGTGTATGTGAATGGGTGAGTACCTGGAAATGGAAAATCGTTATATAAAATTGTGACCATTTAAAATCTTGTGCTACTAATTCCTGTGCGATAAAACTGATACTGCAGAACATGAGGAGAAAAAAAGGGTTCTTCTCTGCATCTCTTGAGAAGCCTTTATTCCAATGCTACAATGAAAACTATACAATAAAATAAAGAAAAACTAGTGGAGCAAAAATTGCCAAAATATTGTCTTGTTCTTGTGAACCACATCTTGTGTCTCATCATGTGAGAATTGTGTCTCTAGTTACACAGTTTGACAGCACACAAATGCTTTGTACTTGAATTTTCTTCCATTATTGTGGTGTATTTGACCTGCACTTTGGTGACAGAAATTATTTATTTGTCATTTTTAGTTTTTAGTTTGAGTGTTGTAGAATAAATTTTAGTAGCCTGAGAGTTCGGAGAAGAGACCTGACTCTGGAGTTCTAATGCAGGAGAAGTTTCCATACAGACATCTATTTAAAAAGTTTATTTGTGTAATTCAATAAAGCCTGACCTTATAACAACAAAATAAAAGCACTTTTTACTTAATGTTTGTCAGTTGCACTATGATAGCAAACACTTGGCTGGTCTATTGATTTTGCATTTGATGTTTTTATGAAATAAATAAAGCAGCATAGCACAGATTTTTATGTGCTTGATGTTGATCTTCAATGTTTGTTGACTTGACCTTCATGACTTATAGCTCAGTGGGACTGCACAGGGAAGCATTACTCTCAGGAGGAAACACCAAACTAGTTTTTCCATTCTTTTTAGAGAGAGGTCACCTGTGTTGTTCTTTGAGATGTTTTCAGAGTGACCCTTTGAATACTTCAGCACATCAAAGTCTGACCAATGTACTGTGAACTCTTGGTGGAAGATGTTTACCTGAATGTTTTTTCTGTTTGTAGAGTAAAGTAAAGTTGTTTTCACATAAATCTTCCACATTTTCTTACTTTACTCTGGCTGAAATCAGATAGATCCTCCTCCTCCATAATACATAGATGCATTGATCTGTGTTCGCTGGCTTCCTGTGACTACATACAATACAAGGTGACCTTCGTGTTAAGCATGCTAGCCTCCCTGCTCTACATGCACCAGGATTATCTTATTGAACTCAGATTGGCGTATTCCGACAGGCATCGTCTTCTCTGTTGCACTCTGTAGACTTGGCACAAATAAACAATGTTTGGAGGCCTGTTGTCTCACCACTTAGTCACAATTTCTCTGTTGTTTTTGAAAGAGGCAGCAAAAAATGTCAGCTTCCAAATGCTATTGTTTTCATGAATAAATGTATGAGTGAATAATAATTCAGTGTGCTACAAAGTCCAGCACAGTTTAGTGCTAGAGTGTGAAAAGTCTGTATATTTTTCAACTGGTTAAAATAATCACTCATTTAAAACCTGCACAGGACATCAGCCAAATAAATAAACAAAAGCATTTAATTATGGGTATTGTTATTACACCAAAATACATTGAAAAACATGTATCCTTACTGTGAGCAGACTTGCCTCTCCAAAGACCTGACTCATAACAGATGATGATGGCAGATAACAGATTACTGTTTGTTCATTCAAGTTTGATATAAGTTTGCATATCAGACCACAACTCAAAATCTGTATGTTACGACAAATTTTAGATTATATATACTGAATATTTTGTCTTCCTTCCTCACTCAGGATCGAATCTACTGGACTGATCGAGACAGAGCTGCAGTCTTTATGGCCAACAGGCTCACGGGGCAGGACATCCACACACTGGCTGAAAACCTCAACGACCCTCATGACATTGTAGTCTTCCATCAGCTCCGGCAGCCTCCAGGTTTGTGATTTCATTGTCATTTTATCAAAGACTTGTCACTGAATACTTTCAAGTCACATCTCTATGAACAAGTTTCCTCTGCGGATGCAAGTGGAGCTGGTGCTTTGAATAAGTGATGACAAGGCCTGCGAAAGTGGTTAAAGCATCAAAGCTCGATCAGAACATGAAGAAGTTGCTCCAATCAAACCAATTTTATTTTTTTAATGTATTTTTTTATCCCCTTACTTTTATGTATTAGAGTTCAAACTACCAGTGTAATATCTTTCATGGTATGTCATCAGTATACTTAAATGTAACATGACAAGGCAGTATGGTAAAGATTGTACAAGCTGAGATTTTCAGATCTGTAAATTTAAATAAGTTATCAAACTTCTTTGAATCTCTTTATTATGTTATGTTTTTATTTTGTCTACATATGTGATGCTACAGGTCCAGACAGCTGTAATCTCGGCAGTGTGGCAAATGGTGGGTGTGAGTACTTGTGTCTGAAGGCTCCTCAGATCACAGAGCACTCGCCCAAATACACCTGCGCCTGCCCCGACGGACAAGACCTGGGCCCAGACATGAGGGGCTGTGTGCCAGGTCAGCACTCCCTGCTATTCACTGAGAGTTGTATAAATTAAGCATGATCACATAATGAATGCATATACTAATATATATTAGTATGTACTAGTATAGCTACAATGGATGTAGCTAATTTTGGATGTACCAAAATTTAAAATTACATCCTAAAGAGGGGGTATGAGCTTTCTACCATGTTATAACATTTTTCCTGCATTAAAAACATGCCTAAGAGGTTTTCAATGTCATCCATGCATGTTGGAGCAATTTAATATTTAGTTGTGAGCAATACTCAATAGCCTAGGCGCCTACGTCACCCATGACAATCCTCCATCAATACAGCATGATACAAAACTGTACACAAAACTTGGCAAACCTGATGCGATGTGCAGTAATTTCATTAGTGGAATGCACACTGTTTGGGTTGTGATTCCACTCTTAAGTTAGAAGTAACTTAGCACGGGGAGCAAAGGGTGGGGTAATGAAAAGTGAAACTATAATAAGTTATTTTCTGCAAATGTAACATTTTCAAAACAACAAAAGGTAGCATGGTGATCTAGATGTGTTAATACCCCATAGAAGTTTAAAAAAAATTTAGTCTAACATGAACCAAGCATTTTATTGTTGTTTCCTTGATCAGGAGCCCCCAGAAAGGTGGTGACCTCAACACCGTCTGTCGAAGCAATTCCAGGCACAAGTACCGCTGCAGGGGAGGATTTTACCATTTCCTCTGGTGGATACTCACCAGCTGACACTGCCTCTCACCTCACTACTGCGCCCCCTACGTCTTTGGAGCCCCTTACACCCTTCCCATCACTGAAGCCTGTCCCGTCAGTAGAGTCTAAGGCACTTGGCTCGCACTCCACTGCCACAGCCATGGTCATGCCCACCACGCCAGCAGGAGACAGCAGCGTGTCTCAGCATTGTAAGTTCACATACTTTAAAGTGCCCATATTATACTATTTTCTGATCTATGTTGTAATGTAATGTTGTTTCCTTATCACAAACTAACCTGGAGTTGTATTTTGTTTCATTCACAAGGTAGAACAAAGCATTTTGAGCTTTAGAGATGTAAACAGACTGATAATAAAGGATTACTCAAACATGTGTAAATAAAATAAAACACATCTCCGGGTTTGTTTTTGATGTGGACCCTTAACTGACACTGACAACATCTTAAACATTCTTGTTTCTTTTTCCTACTTCTGTAATGTGTTAAACTGTCATTTTAGAAATAATAAATTGTAGACATAAAGGAACACGTGTTTTTTAAACATGGGCTGTGGGTGACACTGGAGTCTAATGAGGCATATGAAAGAGGTGGAGAATGTCATGCCTCTGCCAAGGTCACAGCCCGCGGTAATGCACCAAATACCAACGGCTCATCAGAGGGATCCGATTCCACCATTTTTGTTCAAGCACTCCTTTCAGCTGCGGTCGTTTATTTGTTCTATCTTTCATGAAATGCCATACCTTCTTATCTTCGGTTATGTTTCAAACAAGCTGTCAGTTGTGTTAGCTTCACTGGTCCCTCATGCTAATGCTAAACCTGTCTCTTTACAGCGGGAGGTGAGCATTTCCTCATGGGAGAGAACCTGACAGTAGCGGTCCTGGGAGTGGTCATCCCCATTGGTAAGTGCACTCCGTGTGAATGTGTGTGACCATAGTAAAGGCCTGCAACACTGCACTAAGCTGCAGTTTGCTTCTGCCCAAGGCCCCAGTGTTTGTGTCCCTCCTGACCCTGTGCAGCTCATGAGAGAAACCTGGCCCCCAGCCCTTCTCTGTCTGACATCACTGCATTATTCACCCACACTGTGCTGCTGCTGCTGTGCTGGGTTCTGCTGGAACCTTAGGGCTGTCTGATCGGTAGAGCTATAGATTGTCAACATGAATAAATGTCATGTTACACACAAAATCAGTCACTGGCCTCCATTTAGACATTTCTGCTCAAATGTATAAAAATCCAGCCATTTTCTCGTCATTTTGAGTTATGCATCCAAAAATCCCATTTAGCCATTATCACATTTAAGAATCTTATTTTGACTGAACACATTTGGGACCCACACATGTGCAGTGCTCTGTTCCTCTATCCTATGACCCCCACCCCCTGCCCGCCCCTTGACTATAGACCCCTCCTCCTCCCCTCTGCATGCCTGTGCTTCTCACTGTGTGTCATCTCATGGACTGTTTGCCTTGTTAACGCTGCCCTTCATGTCCCTGCCGCTGTGTGCTAAACACATGCAGTTCCTATCGTTGCCACAGTGGTGTTTGGACTGGTCTGCGCTGGAGTCTACATGGTCTGGAGGAACTACCGCCGTAACTCCACCAAGAGCATGAACTTTGACAACCCTGTGTACCGTAAGACCACAGGGGAGGGGGAAGAGGACGAGATCCACATTGGCCGGACTGATGCCATGGCACACCACACACACCACCACCCTTACCCCCAGGGCGTCAGCATGGGGGTGGTTGGAGCAGGAGGGGGCACCTGTCCTCAGTTCATTGCACTGCCTTTAGGGGGCAGTATGCCTGACCCTGGAACTCACTGGTATACGGAGCAACCTATGCTAACCACTACTAAGTGAACATGGGCCACTCAAAGAAAGATGGCCGCTCAGGCACACGCACATGCTGGACTCAGCAGTGACTCGAAGAATGCCAAGGGTACAACACATGCAGCCATTAGAGCCATGCCAGATGCAAATTTCCACAAAAACAACAGTGCAATTTCTCAATTGCTTTCTGTGCTAGAGATGACCTGTTCACCTCTTGATATTATAATTTGAGCTTCTCACACCAGAGGGGAGGTTTGGCATTATCATTTTTTATTTATTTGAAAACCATTTCAAGATTTAGCTTATATTACTCTGAGCCAAAACTCAGTTATGTAATGAAGTGTATGCTGTGTCTGTATGTGTATGTATGTGACAGTTCATTGTTGTTTGTGTGGGTTTGTTTTAAACCTGGTGGAGCCCTGAGCTCTTTACTCTTCAGGAGACCATGTTTGCATTGATTGGACAATCAGTTTCAACCATACTTTCCATCATAGTTTTTTTTTTTTTTTTTTTTGTCTTTTTCCTGTTAGTTTCAGAGTAGAATTACAACATGAGACTAATGACAAAACCTAAACAAATTAATTAGTGGTTGTTGGAAGGTGAATATGTTCTTTTGAATGAACATTGTTAAGCATTTAGATAATGAGTGCTTTGGGATAAGCAATACCTGCGTGTTATTTTCTCACATTATTTGATCACCTGTCTTTCACTGTGACAAACTACAGCTGGGTGAGGAGGTGACAGGAGCACAGTCTCTTCAGAGGACAGAGACAGTGTGCGCTTGGCCTCTGAAAACACTCACAGCATGCATAATAGCTCACCACTGACAGCACAGCATTCATTGTCCTGTACTTCATAACAGGGAGCGGCTCTGACCTGCTTCTCTCCCTACGCTATGTGGAGGCCCTCCTATAATCCAATTCAAATATAAGTTCCTGAATGCAATGAGTAGGACTATTTCTCAAACATGTTTATTATTGATAACAGTTTTAGTAAGAACACATTACAGTATTGTCTGATTAATTAGCTTGCATCAAAAAAGTGTCTGGTCTTCACCTATCTATGTGACTGTCTGTGCAAAATTAAGAATTGGTTCGATGGGCTTGTCAATACATTTAAGCTTTATTTGGTGGAAATTTGGAAGAAAGAAAATGTTCAGGAAAAGCCTAGTACTTTGATTTGTAACTACTAATGATGATTACTGAATTAAAACCTAATGCAGTGAGTTTGGACCTTGTCTTTACCTTATTTAAACCAGATTTAGATGTGGTTTATATGAATATCCGTTATTAAGTCTCAGTATTGAATAGCAAGCCAAGAAAGAACCTTATAAGTACATGTATTCAAACAAAAAACAACAACTTTTTTTTATCTTGCTATGTTTCCCCTGTTATGGTATGCAAAATAGCCCAGTTGTATTGCAATTGTTTATATAATTTTAGCAGAATAAGCCACACTAGTTGTGCACATAGTTTAATTTTCACTTTTAAATGAGCGTTTGTTGTGATTGTGCATGTGAGTGCCATCCCACAGCCATATCTGAACTGTGTCGTATGCTCTGTGTTGCACAACCCTCTGAGAATGCCTTCTGTACTGTGGAGTTGCATGAGACGCTGTATGAAATGTGTTTGTATGAGTGAATGAACTAATGAGAGAGTGAGAGAGTGACTGGTGAAAGCTTTGAGGATAATTTTAAACTCATTGATTTGTAAATACATTTTCATAAAATTTTGATAATGTATTATACGGTTATGTAAAAGAAGTTGTACATAAGATTTTAGATAAAGTCTTGACGGATTATTAATTTATTTGTATAAAGGACACTGTAAAATCATGCTGGATTTTTTGAAAGTGGTTTTGTGTTGGTTCTTGCTGTGAGTAATTTTTTATGATGTTAGCCCATTTGAAGCTGTGTATTTCTGACCAAAATCTTCAGTGTTAATACATTAATGTTTGTTATTTTGTGCCTTTGGTTTTGATTTTTGTTTATTTTGTTCACAGTGAAAGAGACAGAGATCGCTGTAAAGACCAAACTGGTTCCATTTTCTTATTTTTCTGTAATTATTACTTTGGATAACTCTATATATTGATATATAAAATGTGACAAAAATGTGTCTGTGTGATGATTCTTTCATTTTAAATAGATTTATTACATTAATCTAATAGAATAGGTATAAATCTAAAACAGGAGTTTATTAGTTTCATGTCTTAAAGATCCAACTTTTCAACTTTTTTTACTTTAAAGGTCAGATCTGTGCAGAGAAGACCCTACTCAGAGTGAGCGCATCTTATGCAAGGGGTTTTTGAGCAATCATCACAAAACTGCTGAATAAATACACTTAAAGCTATACTGTCGAACATTCCAGACAACGCAATAACAAAACGGAGTGGACAGCCAGCCAGCCGAGCATTCCTTATGCAAAAATCATTTCTATATGTAATGCATTTTTATTGGCATTTAAGGTCAAACTAATTATACAAATTTATGAGTTTATGTTTAATGTTTTAAGCATGCAAATGTTTAAACAAGTATGCTACTATGTTAATTTGTTTTAGTGGATTTTGAAAGCTGCTCTGAAACTAAGTAGCATTTCATATTCCTACTCTTGTAAATCCATCAGTACAAAAGCAGCCATTAGTCTTATTGAACTTAATCAGGGTTAATGTTCCATTGAACCACCTGGTGCTATTTTAAGACTGTGTCCTTTATTTAGATACATTCACATTCATTCATTTTTAAAGCAGGACAAAATGGCCACATGGAAAGTTAAAGGGGAGGATGATACGATACTGGCACAAGTGTAAATTCATCGCATAGCTGATGTATTTCAGAATCATAAAATAATGACAATTAGACAGCCAGGGTCATTCTGTGACATAAGTAGGTTGAGAGATTCTGGAGTCCCTCATCAAATATGTTTTAGAGAGTTAAAAAAAATAAAATAAAAAAAACTAACTACTCAACTAGAACTGATCTGAGATATTTGTCATCATCTTCAATATAACATACTAAGCAATATGTAGTCAGTTGAAAACAAGACATTTTCATTCAAACTGCAACAAAACTTAGAAAGTGTTTAATGTGAAAGTGCAAAAGGGCTCACTTGTTTAGCGATAGACCCCAACTCATTCAGTAGGTCCCTGGGCTGCAGCACAGGTAAACTCTTGTGTTATAACTGCCCTGGAGACAGCTGAGTCTATAGTGGTGATGGTGGCTTTGCTTGGTCTGAATGAAATCCTGCCTGCTCCCATCTCTGCTCAGTCCTCTATCTTATCTCTCCAACATGATATGGAGCTTTTAGGAAGCTGAAGCTGTAAGGTTTGTGTCCCAGGAGGCATGAGCAAACAAAGGCCACTTAGACACTTCTCTTTCGCTTGACTGGGCCTTTGCAGCCACCGTACATCTCAGGAAAATTTCACACCACCCTGTAGAACTGTTCACGAGGTCCTATTTTTATATTTGTCAGGAACAGGGTCAGAAATAGTCTGATTGGTGAAGGGCAGATTTACATGCTGCTGCTGCTGGTTGTCCTTTATATTTGAAAAGGTCAACCAGCACCATCTAGTGGTTAGCTATGCACATTTCAAATATCAAATGAAAAACCATGCAAGTCTTTATTGAATTTACTTGGCATGCAAAAATAGAATACAATGCTCATAATTTTCTTATATAAACATACAAAAGTGCAGAGCTGCAGTGTGCAATATAGACAATTTTCCATTTTTTAATACAATTATTCATTTGCCCCATAAGGAAAATTTAAGTTTACTGTCATTATATACACTATGACTATCAAACAAAGTCATCACAACCCAATACACTGACAGGGTATACCAATAAATATTTTTTATTTTCCATAGCTTTATTGCCGTTTTTTCTTCTCAAATACATATATAGGTACTTAGGTGGGCAACTATATACAGTATATACAAAGAGCGTTATGTTGACAGAATATGGACATATCAGAACAATGAAGGAACAGTGCAGCTTATAGTTTCCTCACTGACATTTTCAAGGTCAGTGGATGTATGTACAACAAGAACAACACACCACACGTTTCTATACATTTAAAGCGCTCTGGCTTTAGCGTGGGCTTTCAGCAGAGCCGCTGTATCACTGTGGGACCCCTGTGTGGCGATAGACAGAGCAGTGCGACCGTGCTGTAGAAGACAAAAGAGAGCCATAAGCTGAGGCAAGGCACAGTAAATCCTAATTAAAGTAACTGCTATGTCTAAATAATGCTATGCACAGAGATGAACTGCTATCCTGCATATAGAGCGATTTCTAAACTGAGATGAATGTGTTGCGAATGGATTTAATTTGATTTTAATTGGTGTCATTAGCCCAAGTTAGTGCCAAGGTTAGACATGCTTCCCAACTCTCTCACTTAAGTAGGAGATCTGTATGCGTACTAGCCTGGCAGATCTGTTACTGATGGAGGATTAGCTCATCTCATCTCACTGTCTTCATTTATTTCAAAGGCCTTATTCTTCAAAACCAATCTGACAGTCCACCCACACTCGCACAGCACAAGTCTAAATATTGTGGGCTAAGCAGCTTTTGCATTCAGAAAAGTAAATATTTTGTTTTGTATAACAGACACTAACCGGATTTTATATGACAAATATAGCTAGGTTTGTCACAGTGGATTACTGGTAATCTAATAAACAGAACTGACTGTATGTTTATGTACATTGCTATGCCTTTTTAGATTAGTAATAAAATCCTCTGTTATTGAGGCAGATTCCCCCCCACAGTGTCACCTTGTCTGCCAGGTTGAGGTCACACTGGCTGCGCTCTAACAGCAGCCTGGCGATGTGCGTGTGGCCCCTCTCGGAGGCGAACATCAGTGCCGTGGTCCCCTCTTTGTCCTGGATGTTTGCGTCTGCCCCACAGCTCAGCAGCAGGCGCACCATCACAACTCGCCCATGTCTCACTGCTAAGTGCAGAGCTGTCTGGCCTGTCTGCAACATCAAGAGAGATGTTAGGGCTTACTAGGCCTGACATGATAATTATTATTTCAACTTATTCAGTAAATTAAAGTTTCAGCGATATGTTTTGGACCTATTATTAATCTTGTGTATCTTTTCTTTTGCAGTAAGTTAGTACTATAATATTATTTGAGTAGTATAGGCTTGAATAATTAACCTGAATATACCAACTGAGAAAACATTTTCATTGGAATATGTATTTATTACAGCTTGGTTCATTTAAAAAAGGGTTTACTGGTATGATCCAACTTAAGGGTTGTTTCAGTATTATTGTTTATCATCATATTTTCTAGAGTAATACATAACACTTCAAATTTTGTTTTTGTGGCAGGCCAAAAGGGCTTACTGTATATAAAATACAGTATTTTATATTTGACAGCAATAAACGTATATACAGTAAGCAACATATAAATTAAATAGTCATTGACCTATATCACGTCATATCTTCCCAGCACTTAATGAGAAGGTTAGTTCAAAGATTTTTACTTGGCTGGACTTAATGTTGGCATTGCCCAGTTCCATCAGTCTCCGGACCACTTCCATGCCACTAGGGCCATCGGGGGCAGTGAGAGAGGCCAGCATCATGGCTGTGTATCCAGCGTTGTTCTGAAGGTTCACATCGGCCACGCCTGTGAGCAATAAGATAGTGTTGTTTCTTTACAGTCACAACCACATACTCTATTACAGTGTGCGACAAATCAAATGTGTAGTTATGATTTCAATGATTGCTCTATTGTTTAATTATAAAAATGTTGCGAATAACATTTAATTAACTTCTGGTCAGACTTATATGTATGCACGTTCTGCCGCAAAATCACCTGTCTGTGGCTTTCAAACAAAAGTCTCAAAAAACATTACTTATAAAATATAAAAATATAAATATATTAGGTTTGATTAAAATAACAGTGATTTCAATCATGAGACAAATTATTGTGATTATAATTTTTTTCCATAATCGAGTAGCCCTACTAAGCAACGCAAACTGACCAGTGTCCAGTAGCACGCTGACAATGCTGTAGTTACAATGAGAGACACTGTAATGTAACACAGTGTTTCCATTGTCGTCTGCCAGGTTGATGAGGAAGGCCATTAGTGATGGTGCGTTTCTCTTCACTTCTCTGACATGAGCAGCGACTTCACTGGCTTTGGACCCCTCCTCTGCTGATGCACCAAACCAGCTCTGAAAGAGGACCACCAAAGCTTTCCTCTACAAACAAACACAGGGACAAAGACACAAGATCAGTGCTAAGAAAAACAATAATAATTAAAAAAATAAATAAATACTATAATGAATGTAATTACAATATTACTTTAGTCAGATTTATATTCACTTATTAATAGCAAAAGAAGTACCATGTCATCGTTGGGATTATCCATATTCTTCATGTGATCTTTAAGAAACTGACAGGCTGCAATAAATTCTTCTTTAACCACCTCACTGTAGGGAAGAGGACAGCATCTTAAGTAAGGAAATAAATGCTATTATTACAATAATATATAACAGACATGCCAAGGAACTATTCTTGTGAGCCCTGTTTCCTTTCCCTCACAGGCTCGACAGATTGGCTGGCTTGGTCTCACCTGCCCACAACACTAGTATGAGAGCCAGGGTCCCTCTCCATATGCTCTCCAGGGGGCGCTCTCATCTTTACTGTTTTCCCTGGAGCCTCTGCAGACACTGTGTTTCCATCTGTCCCTCCAGATCCCATGTGTCTGTTTGGACTTGTGCCCCTCTCCGCTGGACCATCATGCACCTGGGCGGTCGCCATTTTCTCTCTGGGGCATTTTGTTGGCTCTATGTTGTTCTGGTTTTCACTTGCGGTGGAGTGGTGCCTTTTGAAAGAAATGTAAAACACTTGGACTTATTCACTATTTAAAGGGAAAGAGTTAGTTCAACACTTAACCTTTACTGTCACTATGCATTAACATTCTGAACCACTCTAACTTTTTAGCAATTTTTTAGTAGTTGTAAAACAGTGGCAGATATATGACAACAAACAGCCAGCCATCAGTAGAACAACTCATCCTTATGTCCTACATAACCCTATATCCTGTCAATCATTATTTCATCTTTCACTGTTTCTCCTTATGGCTTCTTTTATAACTGAGCTATATTTGCATAACTATATTTCTATATTTAATTTTCACTTGTATATATACATTTATATAAGTATGCCTTTTGACACCAGTCTCTTGCTATTTTTGGAACTTACTTTGAATGTATTATTATTACTATTTATAATTCTGCTCTTTGTTATTATGTTATATTGTGATGCGTGAGCTACTGAGTCCAAATATTTTCCATTGTGGATCAATAAAGTCTGCCTAAGTCTAAGTCTAAACAAGTAGATTTTAATGAGAATGTTCTACTCACATTTCATCCGGGTCTTTTAACTGGCCATCTCTGTTTTTCTTTGCGTCATATTGGAAGGCATCTGAAAGCTCCTCCTCGTGTGTTTTTTTCTGTTGGTTGTAGGAGGATGAAAGTAGATCCACCAGGCCCATCATCTCCTTTTGAAGACACCTGACTTTAGGGTCTATGTGTTCTGCTCCTTGTTCTGCACAAAGACAGTCCCATTGCTGATCTAGGAGAAGTCTGATCTGCTTTATGTGATGGACCACTTCCGCTGTGCTCATCTTACCCTCTGCTGCCTCTTTAAGCTCCCCTTTAGCCAAGTCAAACTTTGGCCTTCCTGTTTCTACACTCTTTACTGTGGTCTCCTCTCCCTCTTGCTCCACCATCACTCTCTCCGCTTTCACCCACACTCCAGGATTACAAATGAGCTCATCAATCTTGTCATCTTTCTTCCTACTTTCGTTTTGCTGTTCATTTAGGATCTCTGTCACTCTTTTCAACTCCAGCCCACTCTCGTGAAGTTTCTGCTCCAGCGCTGCTACTTTGGCCTGGAGAGATGTCACTGTTAGAAGCTCATCCAGATCTGTGCTACTTCTCCACTCATGCGAAAGATTTGAGTCCAAGTTGTTGAGCCTATTGCTAATATGGCTATCATGCCTGGGCCTTTTGACATCGATAGTATTGTAGTGGCATGAAGTGTAACATCCATTTAACGATTGTGGTTGGACGTTTGAACTAAGAGCCAGGCGTAATCTTTCACGCTCATCTTGGAGTCTGCAAATTTGAGCTTGCAACTCTGGAATAACCCTCACTTCCATCTCAAGCTCTGCAACACGTTCTAATGCTTCAGAAAGACGCTTTATCAGTCCAGAGTTGGGATGGGAGTCAAATAAGTCTTCACAGGAGGTGTTTTTCCCTCCGAGACAATCCCTTGAACTCCTCAGGCTACTTGCATCCTCTGTAGATTCTGAAGTTTGCCTTAATAAAACAGTCAAGGGCAGGCTGGAAGCTCTGAGAAGATGTGGCCTAATATGTTCCCCTAGCGGCTGCTCGTCAAATTCCTTTATCCTAGCTTCCATTTCAGCCTGAGATTTGAAACCGGCCAGTGAAAGGGGTGCCTTGGTGTCATGTGACCAGGAGTATCCATGGTGAGTACCCGACAGGCATTGTGACCTTGGCCCTAGTGCCCCAGTGGACCCCCAGGGGCTTGGGCGGGAACCAGAGGAGGACAGGTGGAGGTGGCGAGGAAGAGTGCTGGCCCGGGGAACCTTACTCCTGCGATGGATGGGGACACGTTTGATGGTGTTGCCTTTCTCGATGTCGTCCACATATTTGAGGAAGTCTAAATCCAGCTGGAAGCCGTACGGGGTCTCCACTGAGTATGGGGGCTTCCCTTTAAATCCATTGGTTTTATGAGTGAAAACATGTCCTGAAATAATCCAAATGAAAGATTAAAACAGATTTACACTTTTACACACAATCCGTGTTCATAGTTCCAGTTTGGAGATGCTTAATTTAAATTATGATCTAGCACTATTTTAAACTTATATAACTTGGTCAAAATGGTATGTTTATTTCTAATGCTTAACCCATTTTTCCCACTTAAAATACATCAGCATATAAACATTTTTTAAATAAAGTTTTATTATTAATGCCTAATTTTTATTTATTTTTTTCCTTTTCTGCTGTTGTTATCATTTGTGTCAAAAAGTGTAAATAAATATAAAAAGTGTAAATAAAATATATTATTATTGTTTACATGTTGTTGTCTATAGCCTACATAATATCCCACTTCAGCTTCCCTCACTCTACTTTATCTTTGCCTCTCAGTGGTCATAATGTTAGGCTTCATCAGTGCATATCTTTTCTATTCTTCCATATGTCCTGTTAAGATTCAATTGACGCACCGTTTTGCCCCTCCATCATTGTGTCAGCTTTGCCAAATATCTTCTAGAATCTGTCAACACAAAGAAATCTCAAGTCAACGCAAAAACGCCACTCATGAATTAATAAACATTTCTTTGGTTTTGTTTCCAGGTATTCACTGTTGCTTCATGACTTGAGGTTGAGCTGTGGTGTGTTTTGGATTCCTTTTATTTTTATAACCACATGGAACATCTTTATGACATTTTTACATTCCACTCAGATCACTCTTTTGCATCGTCCTCTTACTCCCTTCTTTCTTTCCCCTGTGTGCGCAGTCCACCTTTACCACAGACTCTGTTTTTCTCACACTTTCGCTCCTTCACTTCTTCCATGCATTGGGTACTCATTATTCACCAGTGGCTCAGCTGATGTTCTCTTGATTACAGCCCTGAGAGAGGAGGATGAGAGTTGAAAATAACTCTGGACTTTTTCCTCTGCAGCCTTGGCCAGCGGAGGAAAACACACTCCTACAGACATAAATACAGCCTGACCATTGTTCTGAGTCACTACCTTCCTTCTCTCCGCATTTTGGCTGCAATATTTTGGTTAGAATTTAATTGCACTCATTTGCCTGTCACTTTGTGGACTGTTTTATGCCTGTGTGAGCAATCAAATTACTGTATGTTTCTCACACAAGCAGCTTAAACCAAAAGCCCCTAAGACACAATAGGCAATAGATTATGTCATAATTGCACATACAGTATAATAATGAAATAATCTAGTACAGGGCCTAAAGTAAACTCTACTAACTTACTAAAGGTTAACCAAATTATCAACTAAAATACTCTCATTAATTCGAAATTTTGATCTTGATTTGCCTAGAATGTTTCACAGTATTGCCCTTAACTTGCCCATCTTGTATTTATTCCTTTACTGGTGTTTCAGTTGCATGCTGAACATTGGAAGCAGGCACTCCTACAGCTACCTCTGCACAGATCAGATCTATAAATTGGCCTAGTAGGATCAAATGCTTGCCTCCATGTAGATATATCATTTTAATGACATACTGTAGAGAACACCAGGCAAGCAGGCGGAGGACCCCTCCCTAGAAAAGTTACGTATTGCACCTTTAAATAGCCTTCAGCTATGCCAGGCATTTTGGGAGGCATACTTCTGGTACATCTTCTCTTGGCAAAACCAAAACTTTCTGAGACACTTTTGTCTCTCCCCAGTGCCTTCAGGCTATGGTTCAGTGACACCCTCATAAATCACTTTCCAATGTATCCATGTTCATACGCTTTCCCTCTGCCCCTCACCTCCGGCACTCCCCCCGCCCTGACCACCACCAGCCTCTGTGGCAGCTCCCTGTCCTGTGGGGAGCCCAGCCACAGCCCCAAACAATGTGAACTATGCAGTAAACAGACACGCACCACCAAAACCTCTGCTGGGAATTCTGACCTCCACCATTCACACACTTATTCTGATAGGGAGCACTAAACTGCAGGCATTTTGAAAATGACAGATAAATACCCTGATGTTCTCACATTATTTACTGAATGGACTAGTGTGACCTCCAGGCCAGAGCAATTAAATGTGTTTTTTTTTTTCTTTTTTTTTACTCCGATAACAACTCTTGGAAAATGCAGTAACTTGGAAATGTATAGCCTAATTGTGTGTTTAAAATTATATTATTTATAAAAAAAAATATATTATTTAAAGCTGGATAGCGGCAAATCTTTAAATGGGCAGGCAACTGTGGTAAAATAAAGGTACTGCAGATAAATTATGTTGTAGAAAGAAATCACCTTATGGATCAAGAGTAGTTATTTGATCAATGTTTACTTAACTCAGTCCACCAAAATAACTACATAAACATTATCCAAAGGAAGCATTAACTCCTATAGCCTATAACCACCAACATACTATGTTACAACATAAGACGGTAACTATGTTCTATATGAGAGCCATGAACTCTTGTACTCTTGCTGTCGCCCTCACTGAAATCCAATGTATGTGTCATGCATAGATGCTGATACTGTATTCTGTGCATGCAGTTTTCCATTGGAGTTTCCTATGAGAACAGATGTCATAAGTCTCATAAGTCAACAATAAATTCACAGAGACACACACATTCAACACTTTTGAACCTGCGCTGGTTCCAAAAGTCAAAACTGCTGATTTTTTTGAAATGTGGGAGCTCAAAATATTTTATATCATAAGTTACACATTTCTGAATGTTTGTAGAGTCTTCAGTCTGAACTGCAGGACTGTGACCACTAATTGTTATATTTTAGTTTATATATGAAACAAAACACTTGCATGAATCTCGTACAAATTTTCACAAAGAGGATTCACAATGTAACCACCTGTTACTGCATGCATCTCAATAAATATGACTGTGACCTCTGCAAACACAGACTGTTGTGATAGAACACTACACTACTTCTATAGATGACTATGATAGATGACTATGTCTGTTCTGTACCACCAAATAAATTACAACAACACAAACCACACGGGAACTCAGACTTAATCTAATTATTACCTACTGAGAAACAAGGAGAAAGATTGCAGGTCTAACATGCCCAATGAAAGCCCATTGCTATTTTCCTATACATAAATATAGTTAAGATATTTGATTTTTGCCCAAAACAGAAACAGTATCATCAATTTAAAAATGAAAGAAAAAAGTCTTACTGTCTTAAGACTGTGGGTGGTGCCAGGAGGGGCATCCAGTTTAACTGGCTAAATGCAATGAGAGATGAGATTATTTTCACTTTATGGATTACATTATTATTGGGTAAATATTCACTTCTGAAAATGATCAAATCAACTCAACTCATTAATGTGTCCATCACATGCCAGGGCAAATGGCATCAAACACTGATAAATTAAGATGCTATAGGACAATGTGTTCCTGGCTAAATAGACAGAGATGCATCAGTACAGGAACTTAATATTAAACATAACTGTACAGCATAACTGTACAAATTCTTGCAAGCTAAGAGACAGTATATTTGTAATTTAGAAATCCTTGAAAGCCAAAGCCAAAAGAGGATAAGGATAAAAACTAAAAACAACCATTTCATAACAAACATATTTTTATAGCGCAGGTTGAAGTTGTCCACATTTAGTAGTCAGCACGCTCACCTCACAGGAAACCCAAAGAAATGAAACGTAAAATATTTCCGTTGCCCCAAACCAGGCCCCAACTAAAGAACTCAGCTCTGTCAGACTTTCTTCTCAAACCATATGAGGCATGTGTCAAACTCAACTCATTTCAGACTAGAGTTATATAGACTTGGTTCTCACACGGCAGCTGTTCAAAAGCTTTGTGCAAATGCAACCCCTCTCTCAGATCCCTTTCTCTGCATCAGCATAAACCCATAATCACAACATCTCTGTCCACATTCTTGTCCCAAGTCACAAATGAAATGTAAACTCAAGACTACACAAGCTACACAAACTGTTTACGAAGGGGAAAATTACTCCAACCTCAGATGAAATGAGTTGTTTAAAATGTTAATCAAGGCTTTAATACAGCAGAGGACCATGTATTCAGAGTCTGTACATAATGCTTCACAATTGGTAGTACAACTTTGTCAGAAATATAAAAAAAAGGCAACTAGTTAACAAAAACTACAAAAACTCTGAATGCTGCAATCTATGATCATTATTTCTATTACCCTCTACTTTACAATTTCAAGAAATAAACATACTTTTACTCTGTATTTAAGCAACAACATATTGAAATATATTTCAAGTACTGCACACACTCAGTCTGTAACTTGTGGTGATATTTTTACATTGTGTGGGTACAATACTATCCTGAACTTTTTTTATCCACAAAGTTCACAAGAGGAGAAACTACTTTGCCAGCTGCCAGTCTGGACACATTGCATTATATTGTGCCCACACAGTCCCAGGCGGGCACCACCCCGTTCTTGCTATTTTGTATTCCACAAAAACAGTTTATGGACACAATAAAACAGAATTTCCATGGTTATTCTAAAATAGACAGTGATGAAGGTTTGGGATGTATTATACAGCTCTCATGATACATATTGTACCTTGAATCTTGTTGCAAAAAAAAATAAAAAATCCTGGAAAATAAACGTCATTCCTCTCCTCCTGGCTGTACAGACTGTGTTTTTTTTTTTTCATTGAAACTTTCAACTGAGCATCTTAAGTGATTTTCATCATTCTTTCCTTAAACTACTGCATGTCTGTAGAGCTCTGTGTATTTATATTAAGTCTTTCTGGAGAATCTTCTCATCCAAAACTAACACAGGTCAGACTTTTGATTGTGCCATATGAGCTTCATTGTACGGCATGTGTATTAAACAGCTGCCAGGGACTTCAAGCACCAATGAGAAGGCATGGTATGTTAACACAGCAAGGTTAAAATAGAAAGAGCACAGTTACTTTGTGAAGTATTACAATAAAGATATGGGTCAACATTTAATCGATAAAAGCTATCATCTAGATTAGTATTCAGTCTAGGTTAAGTGATTTGCCCCATGTTTCATTTAATAAGTTACGAGTCTGACCCTGAATTAAGCCCTGGATCGAACATAGTCAAGGTTATCATTCAGAGCATCACTGTGTTGATTAAGAATTCAACAGATGTGAGAGAAGATAACTACATGCACACGTGGCTTACCTTGGGGCATAGTATGTGCAGTTTTTTCCTATTAGAATAGCTGTTTTCAGTCCAGTTCAGTTTGTCTGCTTGTCTCCTTAAGGTAAATGCCAGTGTTGCCTTGCCATAACAGAAGCTCATGTGTGTAAAGGGGAGTCCAGACTTGGGAGGGGCTTGGGAACCCGCCGTCTGTCCAACAAAACTGACAGAGGAGGTTAGATGTTGTGGTTAGCCCCGCCCACACCCTCTGCGTGTCGACCAATGAGAAGTCAGAGGTGGAGGACGAGAAAGAAGGAGCTCCTATGGGACACACAGCGACAACATGTCAAAATATCATGGTATGGGGCAAGAGTTAACAGTGTGTGGAGTGAACTTACGGTTTCACATGGCTCAGACCGCCCCGTTCAGAAAGTGTAACCCTATCCCATGTTATGTGCAGTGCGGTCCATATAATGAGAGGCAAAGAAGGGGCAGAGCATAGGGCTGGGTGCCATCGTTCGGGGTTAATTCTCTCACTGAGTGGTTGTCATACCACTCAGTGAGAGAGATCTGCAAATCACCGTCTTTGATTGTCAGTAATTTGCAGATCTTTTTCAACATGTCATCGTCTTCTATGACCTGACCACCATGATGCAATGTGGCAGTCCTAAAACACAAACAACAACAGTGTTTAATGTTTACGGTCTGAACTATTACTAAAAGAAACAAACATAATCCTTAAGTGTTGTAATGTTGAAAGCATCTTGATACAGTATAAATGATACAGTACAGTTAGTTTATTTTTAATGACTTCATTAACTTTTATTTCTGGCACAGAATGGCATCAATATAGCAAACGGCATACCTCATAGTCTGTAAGTTATTACTGTAGCTGCCACAGACCTGCCCCTGTTTGTGGTGTAATTCCTGCAGTTGTCTTGCTCTTTACAATGAAATATTATAGGTCCTTATTACTACAACATTTCAAGTTTGGTCTGTGCTAATATATTGCCTACTTTATAGTCACCTGAGAAATTTTCAAAACAAAAATTTATCAATTTGATATATTTCCCAGAAAGAGATCTAAAGTAAGAGCTCCCATCGCTGCTTTGTCCTCCAAAGGATGGAAAAGAAATAAGCTCAAACTGCTGTGAAATTCTTCTTTTCCATTACACAGGCAGACAACTGACTCCGAGCGGGATTGTGGTCAAACTTGGAGAGAAGAGTAAAAAAAAAATACTTCACTGGGCCAAATGGCTGCTGACAGACTGACCACATAAGCAAAAACTTGGCCAGAAGGAAACATACAGTGGTCTACTCAAAGAGGGGATTTAGAAATGAGCAGTCCAGACTAAATATGTAGTTTGTAATTAATGTAAAATAAGAACTCAGAATTGACTTATTAATTATTAACTTTAATAAACCGTTTTGGGACCATAAAGTAAACTGCAGGGGTCATTTTCCTTTCATTTTAGTCACTACTAGAAAAGAGAGCTATATTTATTTTTTACCAAGGGGAAAATGGTCATTTGCCGTTCTGGGTATTTATGTCCATGCAACTGTTTAATATGCCACTAAATAATTACATTGTTTTTGGCTAATGTGTAATCCTCCAAGCATCTGAACAAACTGGAAAAGCTGTCTGCGTGTCTTTGATTGTCAGTGATTTGCCAGAAAATGGGACGGCAGTGGATCAGTGGTTAGAACACTTCTTCCACCAATCCAAAAGTCTCAGAACTGATTCCTACTCGGACCAATGCTTCCCTTCATTGTGTCCTTAGGCAACCTTGCCTGGTATGAATGGTGAGAGTGTGAGCGATTGGTGGTAGTTAGAGGGGCTGATGGAGCAGATTGACAGCTTAACTTTGGTCAGTCTATGCCAGGGCAGCTGTGGCTACAGAAGAAGCAGGTTTGGAGGAAATGAACAACTAAAACCCAAACTGCCTTCAATGCCTTATTATTATTATTCTTCATCTGTTGCAGCACCGTACATGTCAAAATATGTAAATATGTCAACTGAACAGAAAGACACTTTCTGGGCCTTTGTGCAAGTACCAGAGAGGCCTGGGTCAGTTTGGGTTATGTTGTACTCCACCCTCTATCACTATGTTTTTTGTCTGCATTCTAAGTCAAGCGTGTGAAAACATATTGACTAGAGCAGTTATTCCAAAAGTGAGGTCTGGGGTCACCTGGGGGGCCTAAAAGGTACTACAGGGAGAGTCCAAAAGGTTGTCCACAGAACAAGCATAAAATATATATATTTTTTAAATTAACTACATAATTAATTTATTTATATAATTTACTACTTTAAATCAATATTAAGCCACATTATGACTTTTAACATTTGAGGGGAAAACATTATATTTTGCAAAATTTTGAACTGAGCATGCATTGTTATTGGGAGGTATGTACAATTCTGCATAAGGGCTGTGGCTTTACAGACTGTGGGAGCAACCGGACTAGAGAATGCACTGACAATAAAAAAGATAGATGATAAAAAAGACAGATGACAAGCATTGAGTTTGAGGTATTGCTTGCTGAAGTAATGAGTTGAAAGGTCAAAAGTGGCATCAGCAGTACCCCAGGCATAATATTAGGATTAGAACTAGTTTGACAACATTCAAGCATATTAAAACCTCATTATATTCTATTTTAGTACCTCTTTTCATCGCAGAACCTCCCACTGGACTCTCTTTGCCCTTAGTTTCCCCTTTGCCCTTTCTGCAGTGAAAGCTAATTATGCATGTAGATATTGTCCATGCCTAGACATAGACTGGCTGGTGGGCTCTATTTGTTGATCAAACAGAAACCTCTCATTTGTGGAGTTAACATTTAACAGCGAAAATCCAGGCTCTTGACCTTGTTTAGACAGTCTCTCCGTTCGGCTGAATGAATGAATGAAGCTAGATTGTGTAATGATTACACTTTCTCTCCTATATATAAAAAATAAATGTGTTTCTCACCCTCATCCAGCTCGGGTCCTCTACCAGAGGCCTGGGAGCCTGAGAGTTCTGTGCAGTATCTTTGCTGTTGCCAGTACTGCACTTTTCTGGACCGAGATGTCCGTTGTTTTTCCCGGTATCTGTTGTAGCCACTCTTCCAGTTTGGGGGTTACAGCCCCAAGTGCTCCGATCACCACAAGCACCACAGATGCCTTTACTTTCCAGGCTCTCTCCAGCTCCTCCTTGAGCCCCTGGTATTTCTCTAGTTTCTTGTGTTCCTTTTTCCTGATATTACTATCGCTTGGTATTGCGATGTCAACCACCATGGCTCGGCGATGTCCACCACCACGGCAGATGCGATATATATATATATATATATATATATATATATATATATATATATATATATATATATATATATATATATATATATATATATATATATATATATATATATATATATATATATATTATTCCATTCTTTTACAATGTTAAGAACACTACATCATGACAACGTGACAACAAGAACAACAAACAAAACAGAAATTGCCCAAAACTGAGTGGGAAGAAGACACCATATTTGCATGGGGCCAAGTGACTAGTTGATATTTTTCAGTTGAATTATGTTTTTATACTGTATTTTTGAGCTTCTGTCAAATTTTTACTAATCAGAGCATTTTCCAAACAGCAGCTCTTGAGTGCTCTTGTGACTGGCATCATCAAAAGTTATTCAAAGAAGGAACACTGATGAACCAGCAACAAGTGATACCAGAACTAAACTGGTATAAGGGAAAGCATTTGAGTAAACCCGTGTGAAAAGTACTGAACTGATGACTTGTGCCAGGCTGATTTTGCTCGTGTGGGAGAAAGCAGACTCCTATATTTAAAAAAAATAAAATGAGACATCCATGTAACGCTGTGTTTGAGAGAATGTGGATGTTATAGGTGTCTACTGCTGTTTAAATGTCTGTGTGTACTTCTGCATCTCACTGTTTTTGTTTTGCTCTATTTATTATTTATTATTTTAAAAAGTTTAGTCAACGCTGGCCTTTCTTTTTATGTTACTAAAACTGAAAAGACGAGGTTGATGCTAATTACAAAAGAAAGATAAAATACTCAAATGTTTGCGTAGTTGTAGTGTCAGGCTGGGGTGGAGTATCCTGCCTGATTGGACTGAACTGAACTTAGCCCTAATGAAAAACTAGGTCACTGTTCAGTTTGAAAATTGGATTCAGCAACACTACAGACCTTCATCTTAGTACTACTTATTTTAAGTTAGGAAAAAACTGGTTACTCTTATGAAACGACAATTATTAACATATAATATATGCCTTCTGTAACTGCAGTGTGTTGAGAGGAAAACAATTATATCATTATTTACAAACTACTTACAAGAATCAATCTGGCTTAGTTAATAATTGACTTGACTCTACTCATAGTTTAAATAGTGGGTTTTTGAGTGAGTTGAATAAAGTTAATGAGGATTACATGACTGACTATCAACATGAGAGGAGATCTTGTATTAGGCTTACTGTTTGTGCTGGCTGCCCCATACCATATCTTCTGTGATGAACCTGTAATTTCTACAGTTGAAGTTCGCTCCCATTTCACTGCGTTGGATGAGGTCCGGGTTCTGGCAACAGGCCTTCTCCAGCTGGGCCAGAGTCTGAGGGATTTTGTACAAAAAACAAAAGGACAGATAAATGACATAGTACATAAGCTGAACATCTTTGACCGCTCATTCGATCAGCTCTCAATGTTGGCTAGTAAGATTAAAGAGGAGGAAGAGGAGCTGAAGAAGACTACGGTGGTGCTGAAGGCCAGTAATGAGGAGATAAAGGATTTGTCTGATCAGATCCACTCCAAAGTGGACACGATCCTGCAGGAAAAGAGCTGTTTGCAACACAAAGTGGAGGGTTTGGAGGAGAGGCTCAGCAGCATGTCCCAGGGGCTGGTCACGAGTGAACAAGTGGAGGAGCTCACTGCTCTCAGGGTGAGCAGAAATAGACCTATGTACATAAAAATAGGGGTGGCTGGTATGCATAAAAAAAAAATCTAATAATAATTTTCTTAGAACATACAGATCACATTTGTAAAGGTGCGTTAGGCTGACAGCCTGCTGTCTGCTTGTTTCCATGGAAATGTTATTGGTTTGCCTTATTGCCTTAAAGATTAAATTTGTCAATCTGTCATGTAGTCAAGCAAATATCACCACCGAGCCAAGTTGCAGGTCAGATCTGTGGTGGGGTGAGCACACTTATACTGAGAAAACATATTTTAAAAAATACTTTTCAGCTCTAAAACATGTTATTGAATAAATGCATAATTAATCACTTAAATTATATACTGTGGAATAGCATATCACATTGATCAGATCATTACACATAAAGGACAAGAATATTTCAATAAAAGTGAAATACTCAGCATTTTTTATTTGCATTAATATTTTTTTTTTCTTTTTTCAGAACACTATCTACAGCCAGGAGCAGAGCATTGCAGAGCTACTGAAGGCTGTGAAGGAACAAAGTCATCAGCTGAATCAACAAAGGTCCAAGATTAAGATTCTCGAGGATAAAGTCGGTGAAAGTCTTCAAACCATTGAAAAAGCTTAAATTTGTCAGATAATGTTACATAAATATTCCCTGAAAGGTGTTGAGTCTTCTACTTTTTGACAGGTTGCAGCCAACAAGGACCAAGAAACTAATGAAAAAAACATTCTTTTATCTAACACTGAGGCTCCCTCACTTCCTCCTTATCGATATTCTGAGAAGACTGGATCTGAGTTAATGAGTAAGACATACAATAAATAGTGTTCACATTTGAACTGTTTTCTAATACAATATAACATCATCATTGTAGATTTGCCATCAGACTGCAGTGAACTATTTAACCAGGGAGAGCGAGTGTCTGGGGTGTACGCTATAAAACCTGACACATCAGAGCCTTTTATGGCTTTTTGTGACATGACCACAGGTATTCAACTCATTTTCAACACATGGTCATAATTAACTATTAACGTACATATTGATATTCTAAGTTTAAAATCCAGGTTTATAAATATTTATTTTTGAAAAGGGGAAACTGTGATTCAGAAACGAACAGATGGCTTTATAAATTTTGATCAAAACTGGGAAAAGTATGAAAGTGGATTTGGAGATTTACAAGGTAGGAAGGAGTAAATTTGAATCACATTTGCAATATTTCTACCTGCACTTTGACATAGAGACTTCTTGTTGAAGTGTATTGATTGTTTTATCTCTCACAGGGGAGTTCTGGCTGGGACTCAGGCGTATCCACTCCCTCTGTACAGGGAAACTCCATCCTCCGTATCCATCTGGAGGAGTGCAAACAGCCTCGGCGAGTTTTTGAATATAGATTTGCTCTTGAAGGTCCACAGCGCAACTATACCATTCATCTTACACTACTGTCTCAAGACCTGCCCGACCTCATGAGTAACCAGACACACACAAAGTTCTCTACTAAGGACAGGGACAATGACAACCAGCCTCAATACAACTGTGCCCAAGACACAGGTACAAATTAATTTACTAAAGATAGCTGTTAAATAATTATTAATTATCAGTCTATTGTAGACTAAAAAGTACATATTTAGTAATATCTACTATTTCTAAATTTATTCAGTATTTTGTGTATTAATTTCATTTGGAACTTGTTTGCTTTGAATTCTTCTCATAGGTGGATGGTGGTTTAATGCATGTGGAGGCACTAACCTGAATGGGAAATACTTCAAGTCAAGGGGACGGTCAGATCGGAAGAGGGGGATCCAGTGGAGAATGAGGAGAAGGGGCTCATCCTCTTTAAAGTTCACCCAAATGTCTGTGCGGCCTCTTTCGCCCTCCACTCATCTCTGATCTTAAAGATCTCCTGAGTGGAGGGATGGAAAAGATTTGCAATGTGCGGTGACCTCTAGTGGACTACATAGGATATAAAAAAACATGTCAAATAAGCTGATTGCTGTTCTCAGTAAATGGTTAGCCGATACCCATGGATGAGGCAAGAGCCATTAGCAATATATGACCTAAAAAGGAAATCTCTAATTTTGTTTATAAACTACAATAGTATAAAAATATAAACCCATATTAATTAATGTGTACAGATCCATAGAAATATGATATCATGTGAAACTCAGCAATAACTTAATTTTGGGTCATATTGACCTAGGGCTTTTTATGGCTGTATTTTCTGAATATTGGATATCGTCACTATCAACTAAACATTTAGAGTTTTATGCTTACATTATATAACAAAAACTATCAAATAAATCTGAATATGCAAATATATAAAAAATATACATGTTTAACTTTTAAGTTATTACTTGAATTGCTGAGGCATATACTCTTCAGTCTACTTAATCTGTATGCTGTTTATGTTTTTTTTTTTTTTGAACATGTGTCTTGTAGAACTATAGGGGGCACTGTTGTCCAGCTAAGACTGACTTTGTACATTGATATACTTTAACTGTAATTGAACTGCTACTAAAAATATTATTATAACTTATGTTAACTTATGTTATTATAATTTTCAGTATGTTTTAATGTACTCTACAGTCATTGTCAACATTTTCAGTTCCCACTTTTGGACATTGAGCTCCTGAAATAGTGCCGCTTCATAGCCACACTTCTCTTTAGACATCATTTCACTGTTCACAGCTGCAGCATTCACACCCACATAAGTTGCTCCCATAACACTTAGGCCACACCCCCTTCTTTGTGACTGGGCCCAGAGCCTTGACAGTGATATCCCTGCACATGTGTGGGGCAGCGTCTTCAGTTTGCCACACATTGGTCTGAACTCAAATGTTATTTTGGGATTCAGAAGTCCCCATGTGCTTCCTGGCTGCGTCGCATTATAGGAGGGGCTAAACCTTCACCCTCCCATTCTAAGCCTATGTAATGCCCCCATGTCGATAGCCTGGGGATTTCCTCTCAACAATAGCTCTCCAAACTGCAGATTTAGACTGAAGTTTCCATAAAGGATGGATACTGGTCCTCTGCAGGTGCTTACAGTGGCCACAGCTCCTTATCCGGACCAGAGACCAGGCACAAGTGGTCTCAGGAAGAGGGTCTCTTTGTTTCAGACCAGACCATACTATCTGCATAACTTCATCCAGAGTATCTTCTCCTCCATCGACCTACGTGATCGCCAGGGCTCCACTGTGGTGCTGGGAGGAGATGGGCGCTTCTTCAACAAGACCGCCATCGAGGTCACTGTGCAAATGGCAGCAGCCAATGGGGTCAGTGGTTTGTGTTGTGCCGTGGGTTTGTTTGTGTGAAAAGCATGACTCATGACTAGAAAGAATAATTTTCCTTCTATTTCTTTTCTCTTTTATTATATTTTTGAAGACAACTGAAGTCACCTAATCAAGATGACTATTTGAATATGTTTTTTGTTGCTGTGGCACTGACTGAAGTCATTGCAGAAATAAACAATATACAATTAAATGTCAATATCTGAAAAAGAATCACATTGCATTACTCTAATGATTGACTGTCATATGATTGGCTGGGACTGTTGCTTGTGTACTGAAACTGAATACCGTGTTAGTTTTTCGAAGTCATATGAAACACTAACCTAATGTTTGATGATACCTTTCCCTCACAGGGATAAATTAGAATGTGCACGAGTTGCCTTCACATCTGTGGCATTTGTGCAGGTGGGGCGTGTCATCATAGGTCACCATGGGATACTGTCCACGCCCGCCCTTTCCTGTGTGATCAGGAAATACAAAGCTATCGGTGGCATTATTCTCACCGCCAGCCATAACCCCCGGCGGACCAGAGGGATACTTTGGCATTAAGTTCAACGTGTCAAACGGAGGTAGGGTAACTGGAGAGGCCAGAGCACGCAGCGCCACAGGCCAAGTGAAAAATAGTGTGAGGAGACAAGTCAGAGAGACATTTAACAAGGCTCAAGTGTACCGTGCCTGGATAAAGACTTTGTCTGGACGGCCAGTGCATGATAATGCTCCAGCTTAGCAGGACACTCTCTGAATTTTGATGTGCATTTGTGTCATAAACAATCAATGCATAATAACATTCCATTTTCCCTGCATGATTCAAATATTGACACTCGTTTATATTCAGGACCAGCTAAAGAGGCTATTACCAACAAGATCTTTCAGATTAGCAGAACCATTGAGGAGTTTGCCATCTGCCCTGGACTCAGGGTGGATCTGACAACCGTTGGCAAACAGTCATTTGACCTGGAGAATAAGTTCAAACCATTCAAAGGTGAATTGTTGTTAAAATATCAACAATCTGCCATTAAGTTGTTATCTGTTTCAGTCTTTCCCTGTCTGTTTCAGTTGAAATTGTGGACTCAGTGGAATCATATGCCAATCTTCTGAGGAACATTTTTGACTTTGCTACATTAAAGGAACTTTTGTTCAAAGAAAACCAGATCAAAATCAGGGTGGACGCTATGCATGGAGGTAACACTGTCACTATCACTATGTTAATGTTAAAGACAAATTTTAAAGGTCTACCACTAGTTACAACCAGTGGTGAATTAGAAGGGCTATTTTTAGTCTCCCAAAACACTGAAACTTATCCTCAAGTAACCCAAAGAACCAAAACAAAGCAGTATTAATACTCCTCACTATTTGACAGTTGCTGGTCCGTACGTGAAGAGGATACTGTGTGAGGAGCTGGGCTGTCCTGCCTCCTCAGTCGTTAACTGTACCCCTTTGGAGGACTTTGGGGGGCAGCCCCCTAATCCTACCTATGCTGCAGACCTGGTGGAGGACATGAGGAGTGGACTATGGGATTTTGGTGCAGCCTTTGATGGTGATGGGGTTTGTTAACAACAAAACTATAGTTTTGATTTGAAGACCTTATACAATGCCAATAGCTTATTTTCTGAGCTGTGTTTTCTCATTGTGGCTGTTTAGGATCGTAACATGATCCTGGGTAGGAATGGCTTTTTTGTGTCACCATCTGACTCTGTGGCTGTAATTGCGGACAACATCTTTTGCATCCCGTACTTTCAGCAAACAGGGGTCAGAGGCTTTGCCCGCAGTATGCCCACAAGTGCTGCTTTAGACAGGTAAATCCAACAGGCGAGTTCATAACTCCAATGCCCATAGTTCAATTTACATTAGTTAAGATTATATTTTATTGTGGTAGGCCTATAAATAAGTTTTGTTTGCAGAGTCGCTAAGGCAACAAAAATAGAGTTATATGAGACTCCCACCGGCTGGAAGTTTTTTGGAAATTTGATGGATGCAGGTTGTCTATCTCTGTGTGGAGAGGAAAGCTTTGGCACAGGTACAAATAGAGACTAAGTAAAGTTTCTGTATGTTAAGAGAAATTACTTACTGAAGTTTATACATCAGGAAGTGACCACATTCGTGAAAAAGATGGGCTTTGGGCTGTGCTAGCTTGGCTGTCCATTCTCGCTGCAAGAAGACAAAGTGTAGAAGACATTCTTAAAGATCACTGGTTAAAATATGGAAGGAATTACTACACAAGGTTTATTACTGTTGGATTTACACTTTTGTAAACGTCTCATATTCTCTTTTGCAATCTGATGAATAATCATTTCATCTGAAATCCTAATCGTAGGCCACATACATATAGTAATACTTGTCTGTTTTGACCTCAGATATGACTATGAGAATGTGGACATAGACACAGCCTGTGAAATGATGGAAGACTTGGAAATATTGATCACAGACAAGTCCTTTGTGAGACAGAGATTTGCTGTTGAGGATAAAATCTTTCAAGTAGAAAAAGCAGACAACTTTGAGTACACAGACCCCGTTGACAGCACCATATCCAGGAACCAGGTACATGCCAGTGATTCATTTTTATGATGATATTCTATTCCTGTTAGAACAGTTATGGTGTATTCAGAGGCTATGGGAAATTGCACACTTTAAAGCATTATTCTGTTAGCATTCTGTGTCTGGCACTATGTTCTGAAAAGGCATCTATTTTCTCATCAGGGGTTGAGGATAATCTTCTCTGATGGCTCTCGCATCATCTACAGACTCAGTGGAACAAGCAGTGAGGGGGCCACAGTTAGAATCTACATCGACAGCTATGAACGACACAATGTTTTTCAAGATACTCAGGTACTAAAAATAATGCATATATTACCAATTTCTTCATATTACAGTGGAAAGCAGAAGAAAATTGATGGATGGCATTATGTTACAATGATTTTACTATTGTTATCAGTGTAAAAACATAGATTGTACATATGAACAGACAGAGATAACCCTCTAGTAGGCACTTTCCAAATAGGAAGTGTTCATGGGGGCACTTCGGCTTTCCGACCCGGTTTCTAACTGACTTTACATGGAAAAATTGTCACTCCTCTCTCTGTAATGGCTGCAGTGAGTCTCGTCATTTTCGTCTTAAAATGTTTGTATTAACCTGCTCTTCGTAATTATGGTGTTTTTACTTTGAATGTAAATACATTTTTATTCCTAATATGAACCTGGCACCAAATTCTCAACTAAAACTGTTAGCATCATGAGCTTCATTTGACTATAGTTGAACACTATGACCTTAGTCCACTTCTTTATACAGTCTATGGGTATAAATTTGCAATCTTAAACTTATGGTATAATCATATTTAAATATTAATATTCAGGAGCATCTGGAAGCCAGGTGTTTTACAATAACCATAACATCTTTGAACAGGTGATGCTGTCGCCCCTAGCAACCATCGCAGTAAAGATTTCTCAGCTGCATCACAGGACAAGACGAACGGGCCCTTCAGTCATCACATGATACTGGAAGGATTTTGTGTTAATTAATGTCAATGTATGTATGTTTAACTTTTGCACACTTCAATACTATACATATTATGAGTAGTACTTACTGCTTGGGCAAAAATGTATTATAGTGGTTGTACAACATTAAACTTTTTATGTGTTTTTTTAGCACTTGTGATTTGGTTATCATATCAGTCATACATTTTAGCTTTCAACACCCCTCAGCAACAGAGGCGGCACCAGAAGGGGGCTTGAGGTGGCACTAGCCTCCCCTAGAATAGCTATTTCACCCCCATAGCTCCCCCAAACAGTTTGCCCCATTTTCATAGCACATCCAATCTTAACAAAAAATTTTCAAATGTCAACCACTGACTGAGACCACAATATGTATAGTTTGTCGGCCAAAAAAAAGCGGAACATTGTTCTCGTATCGGTTGGTTATTCTCCTAACCAACTCACCCATTTTTCACCCACTGAACAATGACGAAAAGTCCTGAAATTTTGCCATCTGGTAAAAGTCGCGCTTCTCTAACTTTTGGCTATTTTCATTTTCCAAAAATAAATAAAATGGCTCGTCAGCGCCCCCAAACGACTCAAAAATGCATTAGGGAATACGAATGACACAAAAAAAAATTTGCATGTACAATCATAAAATTTGACACAGAAGTCGATCATGTCAAGACAAGGAAAAAATATTATTACGCCAACACCGTGTGCTCCACTAGGGGGCAGTAATATTAGCTTAAAGTTGGCTAAGCTTTTACGAACTCCTCCGAGGGCGTTCACCCCAACGAGCTCAGATTTGGTCCACATTATCTCAAGACGTGGAACATCGAAAGTTATCCAAATTTTTCACACACGTCTTACGGTCTCTGAACAGTGAAGCAACAAAAAATGCACACAATTTTGGAGATTTACAAATTGCTCCCATTTGCTCAAACGAACTCTGATTTCAATGAAATTTGAAACAGTTGTTAAACTCTCTGCCCTAAAGCTACTTAATGTGAAAATTATTAATTTGGCACATTAGCGCCCCCTATAGATTGAAACAAAATTTAATATATGAGAAAATCATTTCTTCCCAAATAGTTGTTCAAAAATTTCTGAAATTTTGCACAAAATTCCATTTTGGCATCCTGATCCAAAAGTCAGTGACACCCATGTCATATTTTTTATGGCGTTGCCATAGCGATGACATAAACTCTCCATTGGTAAAATCTACAAATTCTGGCACAAACTTTGGCCGATGTCATTTAAATTTTAATCGTTGATTGACACCCCGACCCTGAACAGATTTATATAAGAAAATCTCAGGTGGGCGCAATAGCGCCCCCTAGGGAAATTGCACGGTAGTGCCAAAATTTACTTTGTCGTAGACATATAAAACTTAGTACACAGATTCATGACATGGTCTCGATCAAAAAAGTGTAGGACGACCCCATGCCATTTCCGCATCGTGTTACCATGGTGACAGGCCAAACATCTGACCTCACCAATAGGACGCCCAACAAAAACTTTGGTGTAGCCAAACCAAATTTGGTACAGAGATGCATCATGGGAATAGGAACAAAAAAGTATATTACGTGGTTGCTAGGCAACCAACAGGAAGCCGGCCATATTGGATTGATCGGGCGACCTAGCGACGAAGGCACAAATTCCTGTCCTCATATTTCAACGAACTCGTCCTCGGGCGTTTGACCCAGACTCACCAGAATCATTCTGTATCATCTAGACAAGTGGGACATTAAAATTTGTTAAAAGCTTTTTAAAAGGTCAAACGGTGTGACCATCAAACTTCGACGCCTGATCATTTGCACAAACTTTGGCCAATTTCACTCATATTTTAACCGTGGGTTCACACCCCGACCCTGAACAGATTGATGTAAGAAAATACAAAAATGGGTGCAATAGCGCCCCCTGGAAAATTTGTATGTAAAAATAAGGTTTTATTTGTCACAGATATACAACATTTGGCACCCACATTTGTGACATGGTCTCAATTAAAAAACTCAATGATGCTCACACCCCATTTACATTGTGTTGCCATGGCAACAAGCCAAACGTAGCCAAACCAAATTTGGTATCCAGATGCATCATGGCAATAAGAACAAAAATGTATATTGTGACCACGCCCCTTTACAAACCGGAAGTCCGCCATCTTGGATATTTTCTTTTGCCAAATTTTGGAAAATTGCAGGGTTAAATTAAGATTTTTAGGCCTAGGGTTGGGGCTATGGTTAGGATTACGATTAGGGTAAGGTTTAAGTTTAGGCTTATTAGGGTCAGTGTGAGGTGCGGCGTTTGCGGGGCGCGGCGTTTGCGGGCTGCGGCGTTTGCGGGGCGCGGCGCAAGCACGAGCGAGGGCCGATCATTGCCGCTTGCGGCTATATTTATTAATTACTATTATCTCTACAAGGTGCTAACTACACAAAAATTTGTAAATTTGTAAATTTAACATGTTAAGTGAGCACCCGCATTGAAAACCTTAGCACCCCTTAGCTTCTCCAACCACAAATGTCTAGTTCTGACTTTTAGCTGAAGAAACTCTATTCTATAGGGCAACCCATGGCACATTTTTTGTGATTACTCGAATTCTCATTACAGACATTATTTTTGAATGAAAGAACTGGGAGTTTTCTTCCTCAGCGGCTTCGAATAAGATAATTTGGATTAAAATTTCAGTCACTAACATCCTGAAATTTAACTTATGGAGGCATGTCAGGGAATAAATTATGCTCAATGTGACATTATTTTTTGAGTCCAAATATTCACATTTGTAAGTGAAAGGTAGCCTATAGGTTTGGTTTAGACCTGGAGGTGTATGCTATTTTGAAACACAAATACCTTATTTCCATGTAGCCACCACTAGCCAGTCAGATCAGAATCCAGTAACATCTCCATCTCTTTGATCACTGATGCCCTTTGATGTCCTGCCACATTGTCCTGGTTTCAGCTGCATATAATGCTGCAACAAAGCAGACACCAGTGCATTACGTTCAATAAGCTATGTTATAAATAATAGGCCTAATAATAATATAGCCTTATCCTAGGAGGTTTTCGTAGGCCTGCTAGTCAAAATCTATTTATGTTTTTGATTTTTAGGATAAATATTACATGCAAACTCACAAAATCATTATTTAGCTTTAATAATTCCTTAATTATTGGCTACAAAACCTCCATGCCCCAAAATCCCGTGCTAGGTTCTTAATAGCCATCCAGTCACATGTTATTCCAAAAGTCACGAGCCATGAGTCATTTAACCTACCTTTTAAAACTTTAGTGGCATTTTAACCGCAACATTACAATTACTCTTCTTTAGAAAACCTTTGAGAAACTCGATGAAAAACATTTTTAGCAAGTTTCCCATTCGTTTATTTAGCTTACTGTGTCTTTAAGAAAGTCACGTGATATTAAACAAGGAAAAAGTCGGAAGCCGGAAGTTCGCCTACGAAGAAAGAGCCGTGCTAATAAACAATACACAAAGGAGCTAAAGTCTTCAAGAAATACGCAATGGCTGGTATAAAAGGTACGTTTTATCGACCGATTATACATCAGTGAATTATTTAGTGACGATGACATGATGTATTTTATTGATTTTCTTTATAAGGAAACTTTGTTAAACCATTAAACCCATAGTTTCAGTTTTCATGTTACTGTGCCCTGTCTCTACACAGTCTAGTTAAGATATGACTGCTTTTTTGTTTCATTTTAGCTGTAGGCCATGTAAAATATTAAATTATATTGATTAGGTCGTATATTTTTATGTTTTTGCAGCACTTGTTGGATTGTCCTTCAGTGGTGCTATTGGATTGACATTTCTTCTTTTGGGATGTGGACTGGAGCAGTATGGGTAAGTTTTAATTGGAATTATGGCATTGAGCAATATTTTGAGTAAGAATAATATTTTTTTTAAAAATACTTTGTAACACCTTTGTAACTTATTTTTCCACACAGGATATACTGGCCTCTGTTTGTTCTGATTTTCTATGTCTTGAGCCCCATTCCGACCTTCATTGCCAGACGTGTCAGCGACGATGACTCCTCAAGTAATGCCTGTAGAGAGCTGGCCTATTTCCTAACCACTGGCATTGTTGTATCAGCTTTTGGGCTTCCTATTGTACTTGCCCGCACCAGCACTGTGAGTTCTGGTTTCTCATTATTTACCCCAAATTTTATTATAAATGCAAAGGAATATTACTGACATTTTCTGAATCAGCATATGCTATTTTTCAAACAAATCAAACTTTATTTAGGAAAAGTTTTTTTTTTTTATTTTGCATGTAACTCAAAGAGTTACATGCAACTCAAAAGCTTTAAAGACAATTAAAATAATTCTGTCTCACTTATACATCCAGCTTTTGCTTTACAACAAAAAGGACAATAAAGGACAATTTAAAAAATCTTTCAGATACACATAAACCCCCTAATTTATCCCTTTTAAGATGTGACCTATTATTGACCTTATTTGGATGCTGTGGTACTTGGAAGGTTAAATATTTTGAGGTGATACCTGTGTCAAATGTTTGGCAACCATTGGTCTACATGATTTATATTTGGTAGTGTTGCAGCTATAGCTCTGTGTTCAGTGTGTGTTTTAAATGACAAACTTTTTGCTCTTGCAGATTAAATGGGGTGCTTGCGGACTGGTGATGACTGGAAATGCCGTCATTTTCCTCACCATTCTTGGATTTTTCATTGTGTTTGGAGGTAGTGATGATTTTAGCTGGGAGCAGTGGTAGAGACCAATAAACAACAACAAAAAAGTGGATGTGTAGGTGGCTGGTTGAATGAACAGAGTGCAGAATAACAGGCTACTGTGTTCCGCACTGTGCTTGTGTCTGCTCAAGTGCCTTATGTGTGGAAGCATATACAAACACTAAAATGTATACTTTTTATTGCAATTACGCTGCTTCATTTTATACATATATGCAGCATTTCCAGGCACATGTTGATAAACAGATCTGTCTCGCTTTAGTCTAATACTGTAACTCCAAATGGCCCTGAAAGGCAGTTGTCTGTCTAAAGAAGTGAAAATATGGGCTTTTTAGCTTCTCATTGTCAGAGAAATATATATTTAAAATGAACTTTCTGTTAAGTAGATGTTTCCAGCTTGAAACTGTCCCAATAGACATGTTAGTACATGCAACGCCTTTACAGACTTTCCATTATTCAAAATTTTTGTCAAGAAAGGGATACACACTGAATATCATTTTGATGCAGCCACAATTTATCAGCACTCAGTGTTTAGACTGAGATGTTTCTTCTGCAGTTTACTTGTTTTTGGATGAGGCAGGATAACAAATATTTATCTATGCTATAATGTTGAACACAATACACAGACAAATATTAAACTTTATTTATCTGTACATATTTTCCTCCTCCGGTGCAATGTTTACATTTTCACCAAAGATCATTTTGATTGATCCACTGAAGTGTAGGCTATGTGCTACATTGCACTGTGATCCTTTATGACTTCCAGGACTTTCAAAACATTTATTTTCTGAATGTCATTAGAAAATGTATTTTTAATGTATTAGAAGTTATTAGTTTCATTCTTATTTTCCAGAACATACAATTAAAATACTCAAAACACAAGTTTGTTTGTACCTTAGCAATACTGCCTTACTGTATTTGAGCAGTTATTTAGGCCATTTACAATACCAGAGTGTGCTGATTGTTCAGTGTATTTTTGATAAACAAAAATGCCCAATAGACATTTGTATCTCTGAACTGTTTCAACATTGTAAAAATGTCATCCCTTTTGGGCTGTTTCTTTTGGTTATTAGATGTATTTATGTTGTTCATTTTTAACTTGAACAAAATAAATTGTTATGTAGCACTGAGCAATCGAGTAAAACAGTTTTTGAGTATGAGTCATGCATGTGAAAGAAGGGTATGTTTTTTTCATGTTGTTTCATTGATGCTATTCCTTTATATGCTGGTAAAAGCCCACATCGTCCATTCAGATGAAAGCCATAACAAGCTGCAAATGGCTTAAGGGGTTCATTTTGCGAGTGTTGGAACGGATAGAGTAAATACTGGTTTGTCATTTATGAAAATGGACTTGATCTGTGTAAACACAGATGTATAATTTAAATTTATATGACATCTGTTCTCACAAAATGCAAATGAAAGGACCAAACACTTTTCAACTTCAGTTGACAATCAAAACGAATAAGCCTTCAGTTAGCCCATATTAAACAGGAGATGAACGCTTATACAGGCATTTGTTTGTGTATTACTGTTTACATTGCTTTCTACCAGTCTGTTTTATGAACCAAACCTCAGATTCTGAAAGCATAATTTACAATACTCAAAAACACAGTATGGAGTTGGAGGCAGCGAATGAACTCTGGGACTCTTCATCTTTTTCCAGGACAGGAGCTGTTGCTTGGCAACAAAGACATCAAAATTATTCAGACTGTAGAGTTTGGCCGTGAATTCACAAAGACTTATTTATACGAGTGTGCCCATTTTAGTTTACACAACACCACCATATTGAGACAAACGCTTCATCAGGGTTAATAAATGTCTAATAGCCTACACGTTTTATTGATCAAAAGCAGGCACAACAATTGTGCACGAGAATGAATGTTGTTATCAATGTAATATGCTACAGTAGGCTATCGATATTTCAATGATAAACTTATAAAAACAGGACAAAGACACAGTGCACATACTAGTACTTCCATAGTTATAGAAGCTCGTGGGAGCCTTGAGTTGTTGGGGGGAGGATGGGGGCAGAGCAGGGCGTGTGCGGTCACTGCCATTGGTGAGGTACGGCTGTGCGTCGTCTGTGTCAATGCAAATCGATTCGCTGTCGGGATCTGAAAATGGACCAAGCGCGAACGACACAAATGGGACGTAATATAAAGGAGGGAAACGGCGTGTCCAGTCCGTGCCTCTTCGGCGAGCAGGAGCACGATCACATAGGATCACAGCCTAGCGCGTCGGTCTTTGTGAAAATCTACAACTGGTAAGAAAGTGTTACTACTGGCATTTCTTATATATTATCTTATTGCATCCTGCGGTGGCAGCAGCCCCTTTGTAGTTTTGACGGGCTGGGTGAAGTTCTCTTTGGTTCCTCGCTGAAAACAGACTTTGTTCATCGCAGGTGCTTTTTCTGTTCCAGCCACACTACAGTGCAGTTTGAAACGTGACTAGCATCTAAAAACATTTGTTTTTGCTTTAAAACAATGAATAATTTTCAACTCATTAAAATTCTTTTGATTCAGATAGCGCGTAATTTCACACCGCCACGTTTTACGCAGACCACAACAAAATCTCGCTCTCAAATGTGGAGTGTGATTTCTATTTGCAAGTCCGAGTCAAATGGGGTCAGCCAAGACAGGCAGGATTAATGAACCTAATTAAACGTAAGAAAACGTGGCTGTGGGTTGTGAAAATGATAATAAGCAATTCGCGTGGGCTTTGTTATAGCTTCCTTCTCCAGTTTGGCTCAGTCACATGTTTTTCTATCAGGTGACCTTATTTTTGTCTTTGTATTGGGTTGCGACAATAGGATGTCAATACAAAGTGGACATAGGGAAAAGGCAAAGGAGATTTATTTTTTCATTAGCATAAAGTCAAAAGGGCGTTGCTCTGAGATTAAATCATTTGGAGAGGTGAAGAGAAGAGCAGAGAAGAGGGGGTGCTGAGGCTAGAGATGCCGAACATGAAACCAGAAGAACCAATGAGGATGAGGGGATGGGGTCAGGTGGAAAACTTGGAGACAGATGGTTTGCTGTAGCAGTAGTCCTTGAAGGGAGATAATAAGAGTTTTGATATTAGGTAGCCTACTCTGTTTGTATTGGTGTTATTTTGCACAATAGCCTAATATAATTTCTAAATGGAAGAAGTTTTGATAATATAAGGAAAATACTCAATATGTTCATAGGTACCCATTTCAAAACCACAATAACAACAAAAAATTAATTTGTATTATACATATTTATTGACTCCATGTGATCTTTCTACAACTACTGTACTACTGTAATGAAATATTCCACTTCAGTTCACCTTAGTCTATAGCACTGTGATCCTACTGCATTTGAAAAGCATATTGGCCACTCTATTTTTATTCTCAGTGAAGACTAACAGAATTGGCCATACCAGCCAGTCTTTTTGTTGCCAGAATCATGACTCATTTACTGGACAGTGCTGTTACTGGTGAATGGCTTTTGTGATGGTTTTCAGGATAAAAATGCCACCACAGCTGACTGTACAAGTTAAGCATGTACCAAATCCTAGGGGAGCCATGGTCAGAGTGGGCTGCACAGTACTGGGCTCGGACTGTGATTGTGGTCACACACTGAGAGCCAAGTCCCTCGAAGCGAAAAGAATAATTGTATCATAGCTTTGAGGAGTCAGAGCATCGCATCATACTACTGCTATCTTTCACACAATCCCAGACAAGTGCCTCTGCCCTCTCACACATGATTGCCTTACACTAGTCTCATTTTTATGATTTTTTTTTTCAGCCTGTAATCTGAATCCTCCACAAAGTGATGTATGTAAGACTCTCTGTTCTGAGCCATGATGTGTTCGTCCCCTGACACTGCTGTATGTCTCATAATAATCCATTCACAATAACTAAGGTTTCATATTTAGTATAACATGTAGTATACATAGTACAGTACATTTTTATCTAGTTTTTGAATGAATAAATCTCAATTTTATTTGGTAGCCACAGCAATACATTGTTTAGAAAATTATATCTGAAGTCAAAATTGGCACCAAGCTGAGAATTAAAGACTGAACCACTCAGTCAGTTATTCAGTTTTCTCTGTTCTCAATTGACTTTCCTGGTAAAATATTGAAGAAATAAATGGCAAAATCAAATTAATAAGGAATAAATACATTTATTTCCCTTGGCTTAGATCATTGATTGAAACCTAAAATTATGTTTCTTAGATTTTAGAATCTAGGAGACTATGATGTTGCAGAATCTAGCAACTGTTCACAACATTTTCCTCCCATGTGCTCTTATGTAGTGTGTAGAGAATGTATATTTTTAATGTTGTGTCTGCTGCTTTAGTTTGATTTAGATCCATTACACTTTCCCCTTGCAATGTACACAGCTGTTGTTTAAAGGTGGAGGTGTATCTTATTGATTTGCCCTGGTCATCTTCAAGAGCACATCTAAGGACTATAGCCCATGGCCTCAAGCGCGGAATAATTTCTGTCTCAGTTTTCAGCTGGAGATAGAATTATGTTGGCCCTAGCACTGACACAGCTATAGTTCTTTGTTGGTGTTTCTTTGAGCTATTTTGGACTTTAAAAGGGCCCATACTACGCTATTTTCTGAACTATGTTATAAGGATTTTTCCTCATCACAAATATTGGAGTTGTGTTATGTTTCATTCAATTGTTAAACACACAAACCCTGCTTATTTAAGCTCTTTGTTTCACTTTGTAATGCCATGTGATAATACAGGAAATGGTCCACTATGCTTTTAAAACTTCACTGGAATAATTTGGATGATTTCAGCCCTGGAATTGCTCATCTCCACCGAATAAAAGGTTAAAGGTATCTTTTAACTATCACTAGATGGAGCAGAGCATTTTGAGCTTTGAAGATGTAAAATAGGCTAAAAGGGTTACCGTACTCAAACATGTGTGAATGCAACAAAACACAGCTCTAGGTATGTTTTTATAACAAGGTTTAAAGCTCAGGAGAATCCATTTTGTGTAATACAGGACCTTTTAAGGAGAAAGATTTATTTAGCAGATGGATAGGTAATAAAAAGAGAAGCGTCTTTTGTGACAATATCACAAAAGCTTAGCGATGTTTTCTTACACAGAATGGTAAGTACTCTTAGTGGCAGTGGGTGTTTTTATATGACAGCTTTATTACCTTCTAAATTGCTGTATCTCTTATATTAAGGAAATTCAATCAGTGACTCGATTGACATTCAATCTATTTGTCCTTCTTTATTGTTGTCATTGTGTTGTCTGTCTACATCAGATCATGTTGAATTATCTGGCAACAATTTCATCTTTATTCACATCTATTGTAAATTAGAAACTTGCCCATTTACTCTGAAAATGTTAAATCTGTTCATTATTTTTCATTGCTTTTGCTAATAAACAAAAACACAGACTGGTTACATTTTCATTTCTTAATTTAACGGTTATAACATAACCTTAACTCACCTGCCTGAAGTGGAAAGAATATTTTCTGCCTACACACTGAACAAACACAGTGTATGATGCAGTGATACGATAAGAATCATTACTCTTAAGCTTGAAGTTCAGGAATGTAGCTGTATTACAAGGATAAAGCACTGCAGAATAGTGTCTTCCACTAATATTTGCTAAGGTAATTCAATTTTCTACATGAACACTCACAGTCAGTACCAATCAGATCTCAATTTTATTGCGTCATTTTGAATATTAAGACATAAGTCTTCTGTATTGTATATGGAACCACAGACTCCATACATTTCTGCTGCTTTGTATTCATGATTTGCACATTTTCTGCTTGCTTCTGTTTGTTCCCCACAGGTAAAACACACTTATAGGCATTCTTAAAACCGACATACTCCAATGTCACCCATGACTTCTAATGACCTGAATATATTTCTTCTGTGATGAAACTTTATCCAAGATTCAAGATTTATAAAAGATTAAAGGTTTAAGTGGTCCTTACTGTAACCACCAACCTTGATGCCATTATAAATCATTCTAGAGTCACTGCCAGTATTTAAAATTGTTGTATTTATTGTTCAATTTATCCAAATGGATTCAAACTGTATTGTTGACAGGCACAATAGCTCATCCATGAATCCATGTGAATAGAATATTATGTTGTTGAGCATGTTTTACTTTTATTCAAATGTGATGCAGTTGCTTTGACAATAATAAATGTGAATGTCTATCTCTATCAACTTGTTTGTCTCAAAGGGGTCAGTGATTTGCATACTGATTTGGCATTCGTTTTGCATCTGATGCCCTTCCAAATACAACCTAAATTGAAGTAATCCATCACAGAGGACTATTTTTAATAGTTCTCCTCTTGACTATTAAGAGGAGGACGATTAGACTGTTAATGTAGTTTAAGTATTACACTACATTTTTGTCAAGAGTACCACTGAGTTTTTAAAATTTTGTTGTAAGATGGTATGATGGGTCAAATGTCTAAAAACCTCAAACACAACTTTGTATAATGATTAAAAGTACATTTCTTGGCAGCACTTGCCTTTATTTTCTAACTATGTTGTGAGGCTTTAAATTTTCAGTTAAACTGTGTTGAAGGCTTTGAAAAATAACCCCCCAAAAACAAGCACCAAGTCAGTTCCCAGTAAGTGGTCTCGGAGAGGGTCCTCTGTCTGTATGTAACAAACGGAGCACACTTTAAGTAGTCTTCAGGGAGGAAGAACAGCTGCTGTGTGCACTCGGTAACCAAAGTAGCAGCAAAAGTATTTGTTATCATCAGCAAAACAGGCATAAATTGTATAAATACAGAACACTTTTAAAGCATCATTAAATGTATATTATCTTATACAAAGAAACTATTAAATAGACTGCCAGTGCTGTAATTAAAATGTGCACTAGTGTGGAGTGCACCCACCTGTTGTCTCCATGGACATGTTATTGTTTTAATGCTATACTGTGGAACAATCAGACAAAGTAATAATGTTGACAAGCAGGTGGCATACCCTCTACCAGAAAAGTTACATTGTGCACCTTTAATTGTAGTGACTTTTTGCCTATCACAGTGAGAGTATGGATAAATAAGTTGAAGTATATGTAGAATCATTTAGTGTCCTTATGAAACCGCCTGGCTCACAAGTAATACATTATTGAAATCCTGTACTGTTCATGCTGGGATGTGACCTACAGCTTATGTGGCATTTTATCATGTAGTTATTACAACCTTTAGCTCCAGTAGAACAAAACACACCATACACTAACGGCTGAAGCTGTCTGTTCCTCATTTGGGGTCTCACACAAATATTTGCTTTGTCCCATGTGACAGATGGAAAGCCCCAGCAGCAGCTCTGTTTGGCACCACATGGAAACAGATTTGGGTTGGAATGGTAGGGCACTTAAATAAAAGCTTAATGTGAGCGGATAGTGGAGAAATCAATAAGGAATGACGCGGAAAATATTGACTATCACACGTCTGCCCTGTTCTCTGGCAGAAGAGCTTGTTGCATGTATAATTGACGAGGCACACTCAGCCCAGATGGACAAGACAGACTGACCTCTCCAAACCACAGTAAACAGGAGGAACACGGGCATAACATTACAGCAGTGTCAAAATGAAAAATAGAGTATTGTTATGTTTGTTTGTTTGTTTTTTCAAAGTTTCAATTGCTATAGGCCAGCATACCCAGATAATAAATGTTTCATAGTGTTTTACTTAATCATGATTCCTGGAGGTTCTAACCCTCTGCTACACCTGTCTCAAGAATTCATAAACCCTATAGGGGTGTTAGACATGCAACTTTTCACTTACTCATTCCCTTACTATGGGCAATTTAAACTCATTTAAGCAAATATAGATACTGAAATAAGTTAAATAGACAGAGCAGTTGAACATTTCCTGAATAGTTTTAGAATAGTCTTCATCTACATGAGAAAGAATGTATGGCTGAAACTACCATTATTTTGTTTTTAAAATTATTTTTTTAAGTTATTGTTGTATCGAAATTGGTATGAGGTATTGAGTCTTTTCTTCAGTACTGAAACAGAGTATGAAATTTTAGTAGCAATAAAACACATACACATACCTATAATACTCCAAAATGATGCCAACTAACAATAACATGTAAACTGAGTTTCTGTTTTTGTAGCAGTATTATTTATTTAATAACTATATGTAGAGTTACATACTGGCTTAGTAGTTGCTGCTTTTAGTAAGCATCTTGGTTACATTATGCATTTTTTCACCATCCAGAAACATACGCTGTAAAAGATTTGTTACATAAAATGCCAAGGGGAAAGTATGGTTGAAATGGCTGTCAGTGCCTCTGTTTAGCAAGCCCCATAATATGAATCTTGATCTGAGCTGATTCACACTATTATCAAAGTCTTTCAGGGCAGTGTTGTTGTTTATCTAACTTGTAACTGTGTTCTGTCCTCCTCCACCTCCTCATGTTTGTTGGTGTGTGCAGGCGAAGAAGAGCTCACTGAAGCACCATCAACGCTCCACACAAGAGGACATCCACTGTGTCTCAAGATGAGGAAAAGCAGGAGTGCACATGGGGTCACACCAGGAGAGGTACACTTCAATTTACTCACTCAACCATCAGTCCATCTATGTATTTATCGGTACATACTGTGCATGACGGTACAAACTTATATGGTAAGAACACTAGAGGAGAAACTTCAAGAAGAAACTTATATATTGGTAATGAATAATAAATGGAAATACTTGACAGTGCGGCAGTACATTGCGTGTTCACCCATAAAGGACATGTGCAGCAGTGGCTCAGTTGGCAGAGCTTTCAAAGGTTGACTCGATCCTCGCTCCCACCAGTGCATTCTGTTTTTTTGTCCCTCAGCACTTAACCCACCTTACCTCCTCTATGCTGTCATTGTTCTCTTCTGCCTGTTTAAAAATAGGAGCAGATTGATCTTTTGGGAAAAGGTGGCCAGGTGCAGCATGTCTGTGTACTTGTGACTGAGTCATACACAGATGACTGTACAGTGCACATGCAGAGATCCATCCAATGGTCCACAGAACAGAGGACCTGTGTTCTTCCATAGCTCCATAGCACAGAGATGGATAGTTTCTCCTGTGTTTGTCAATAACAAGGCTTTGGGTTAACTTGAGCGCATTCACAGTGAATGAAAGAATCTAAAAATATTCAGGTCTGACTGAGAGCTCCATCTGTTTCATGTGTCTGCCGTAAGTGTGTTAATATAGAAAGCCAGAGGATTTACTCAAATCCACACCAAACGCACACATGCCAACATGCATTTTCGTGTCCTCAGTGTGCCCCATTAACTCTACACCTACAGTCTAGCTACCAGTTTTGTACAACATATACACTATTTGTATATTGTACTTTATATCCAAAGACATAAGACGATGATACGAGTCTTAATTGATTGACCTAAACCCAAACCAATATCTTGATCCAATCAATGCATAAATCTGATCCCATAACAATTTCTGGATAGGGCCCAATTCCTGTTAACAGTCGGTATCAGTATTGAGCCATCTCATAAGGTATGACTTTTTCAAACAGTCAAACAACTTTTTGTTACAGTTATAGGTTATTAAAAGTTACAGTTATTAAAGTTCTTATTTAGAAGTTTGTATTGGTATTAGCCTATAAGTTGGCTTTATTTTTTACATACTTCTACCATGAGTCTATAGGCACTGAGTTCTGTGTTCACCAAACATTTGACTTCCACACATAATTAATTTTCTGTTTCTTTTGTATTTTGAACAGATTTGTATAGTTTTGTTAAGACGCTGGTATTGTTGCTTCAGTAGTGATCGTCTGCAACTTCCAATTACAGATTTAAATTCTACACCTTTAAATAATTGAGGCACATCCCATTTCTCTCCTTCATGGTGCAGTTTAATAATTCAGGTTAGGCTTAGATTTCCTCAAGCTTCAGAATATAATTTGTTGATTTTTTCACGAATCACACTTTTGAGTTGAGCCGCTCTTTCATGTTCTGCCAGTTTGTGACATTGGTTTATTAACTTTCATCTCCTGCCCTTCTGCGACCTCTGCTACACAGCACTAAGCACAAACCAGCCTTGAGAAATGAGAGCACTGTTTTGAAATGTACCTGAGGTTTTATGTATCTCTTGTTGAAGTTACATGGAAACACATAAGCTGTAAATGCAGTGTGTCATTTGGAACAAGCTCGGTGAATCAATGAGGCTCTAGGATTACATGTCCGGATGTGAGAGGTGCAGTCGATGCAGGATTGACAAATACTTAGGCGGTGAAGGAAACTGTCTGATAAGATGATATCAATAAATCCACAGGCTTTCACACGTGCCTCTACTTCTACTGTACCTTCCGTTCAGAATTCACTGTGAGTCTTGTTAGGCTGGATTTAATTCTCACCCTCTTCATTTGACAGAGAATGTGTCTTAAAGACAAACTCAATAAATCAGACAAATTACATTTCCAAGAAGGAGGAGAGGAGTCAGCAAATCTCTGTTTACTGACAACAGTATCCTGTCTGTCCCAGTCCTGGTCTATAACCTTCTCCTGCTTCTGTCATTCTGATAAACTCTGATATACTTTCCTCATTTGTCTTTTTTTTCTCTTTTTTTTTTTTTTCATCTCTCTTAGACTTGCTTTATTTGGCATGATCAATGATTTCTTTAGATAAAGTGCATGTCAGATATAAATCATATCAGCATTATCTATGTTAGGTTTGTTTGTCCTTTATACACCTGATAAATATTTAGCAATAAAATATACAATATACAATATATCACAGTTCTCAAGCAGATGTATAAATTAATACAGATATTATTTTTAAGTTATTATATCAAAGGACATAAAAGCTGTTATTAAAGACAAATGCTGCCAATATTAATACTGAAGTGAACATATATATATCATAATTATTTTTTTTGTTGGACACTGAAAGCAGAATATGCATGAATACAGCATTCTTGACTACCTCCACTAAAAATATTATGTCACTGTCATCATGTCATCAGATTTGATTGAATTTATGGTGTGCCCATCAAACCAAATCTTTCTTCCTCTGGTTGCTCTGGGCACTGTGAGATCTGTCTATGACTTCACTCTTGTCCACACTTTCTCTCCAGTCTCCCGCTCCAATCAGACGCAAACTCTGAGTAACAAACAAATAACTTCTTGTTTCGTTGAAGTGGTATTCCAGGAATCCTTCGACCCCCCCTCCATCTCTCCCTCCTGCTACTTCTGAGCTAGGCCTTTATTGAATTGGGATGTTGGCGTGTTTCATTTACTCTCGCATGCGCCGAACATAAAGTGGCCGGTGATGTATGCACAATGAGCTCTGGCTTGTTTACAGCCAGCCATTGCAGCCCAGCACTCGGAGCCCCTTTTACGAGAACCTTCACACTCAAAGAGACAACCTAAGCAGACAATTTATATTCAGCGTGGCATCATAAAATGTCAGTTGGTGGCATGGGTGTTAGAGAACTCTGATAAAACTATTAATTTTTGTTTGTCTTATGTGGATTCAATTAAGGATTAAAATGTAAGTGAAAGTAATTAAACTTTATGCATTTGTTCAGATGTGCTGAAGCTTGTGAAGCTTGAATGTTACATTGATTGAATCAAAGTATTAAATGTAGTTAGATGTTTTCAGTATAACCCAGCCATCAGAAAGATTTTTACAGCCAAAAGCCTTGAAAAATAATTTGGCAATTATGCAGTGAGGCTAATGATATTTTAAATGACAAAGGAAAATTTATATTTTGCAGCTGATATCATCAACATTCCCTTGGGGTATGATACTAACTGCAGGTATGCTCTGTTTGAGGCTTTGTTAGATTTTAACCCTCTCAGGCTCAAATTAATTTTTAGTATCAGGAAAAATCTGATATTTGGGGAAAATTATAATATTGGGTAGTAATATACAATCCTGACTTTTTTATCCTTTGTAAAAAAAAAAAAAAAAGTATTTTGCACTTCTGGCAGGTCGTTTGCGTGTAGCCATTCTTGCACAGTCTGCATCGCCCACGTTTATCAGCACGGATGGGAGAAAAGGCTCCTGAGTTAAAAAAGCTCATAAAATATGGATGTGGAGTAAGTAGGTAACTGGCATTTAGCTGTTGCAAATCTGCAACGCCTGCCTGGAGATGGTTAATTTAAGATGAACAGAAAGAACTGACTTACTTGGAACTACAATGTGTGAGCTCATTGTTATTGCTAAACAAGTCCCCTGCTAGCATTAACTTTTCAATGTGGTCACTCTCACCTTTTTGTTGAAAATTAGGTGCCTAAACAGGACCATGAACACTCCTATTGATCAGACGCCAGAAAATGTGTTGTTTATATCCATTTATTTGTTTATTATTAAGTTTTCAGACTATCTTACAGCTTTTTTGACTATATTTGCTAATGTGTGCATTGGTTCACCGTGGTAACTGCTGAACATTCTGCCATACACATATACATAGAACACCCCCAGCATGATGTCACTCTCAATTGTCCATTCTTCTCACTATGTATTGGGAAATTCATGCCGCACCACGTGCTTTGTCCATAATTATTTTGTTCATTGTTGTTGTGGCCCTGCATTGTTTTTTAATCAAAACATCGTAGTCTTTATGCACAGCAGTGTGACGTCCATGTCAGACTCTAAAATATGCGCATACTTCTCTTCCACACTGACAGGAGAGTAAGGAGCCGTCTCCAGGGCCGGTCCCCAGTGGCAGCTCCCTCGGTGTGGACCTGTTGTACAAAGTCCACAGGCGCTTCTCTGGGAACTTGCAGCTGCCTCCGTTGTCATGGCGACAGGCAGAGAAGGAACGGGACCGTGCGCGGCCTGTGACCCCTGACGAGGACCCAGTAACCCGGAGCAGACCGACCAGCCTGCCCATCGCCTCACTGCCCCGAATCGACATCACACAGGCAGACTCAGACAGGTAACAGCAGTGTACACAGAAATGTCACTTAAATCAAAACATGTGGTTCTCTACTATTCACTTCAGTTTGTATTAAGTGTGTCTTGTTTGTAAAGTATATGGTTTGAAAATATAGACTTTATCTTCTGTTTACAATGCCACTAAGGGCACGGCTTTGCTCGGAAGAGTATTGATTAGAAGGATAGCTTTCAGTTATGATAGACCAAGGAGGAAAATTGTCCAGTTATGGTGCAGTTTAAAATAAATCAGTCTTGGATATACTGTATAGACAGAGCGTCTTACCCTTAAGGCCGCCACAGACTGAATGATTTTTAAACGTGCGACAAAACTACAAAAACGCACATTTAAAATCTTCTTAATTAATTTCTTAAAATTAATAGTGTTGTTTTGTGGACTGGATGTTATTGTTTGCGGAGGACAAATTTTATGGATAATGTGGATGAGATGCTGCAGATTAAATGTACTTCTTTACAGAGGTGAGTAATAAAATCTTATTAATTATTTTCACTGTTTCCTGAGTTTGTTTGCACCTCTGTGTCTGTCACTCCTTTGCCCCTGACGCTCTGTTTTTGTTGACCGTTACCGTAGCATTGCTGATGTTTGGTGGTTATGATCTGACAGAGCAGCTCAGAGTCACACTGACACCACACATGAGTAACGCAGCAGCTTCAAAATCACACACGAAGACAAAAAGTCGGGTCACGTCCCTCCGAACTCGTGGAGAAGCAAATCGCAGCCTAAATCGGGCAAATTCTCCTGTAGTGTGTGGGGTGTTTTAGAGAGAATATGCGTTTGTTAAAAAAAATAAGCTACATGTGTTGATCAAACTACACTATATTACATCATTAATGCAATTCGTTTTTCTTTCTTCCTTTTCTTTTTTCTTTTTTTTTTCTTTTGCTAAGGGACACTTTCTTTTTAAGCAGCCAAACACCTCTCTGCTTCAGGAAGAGTTATAGATTTGTCCGGGCAGAGCATCATAATGGGAAGAGGCTATGTGAGGCCACTGAGTTTGACTTTGCTCTCTATATTTCCTACACTTTTTGCTGTTGCCTTAAATAGATTCCAGTCCAGTATGTCTATGTCTGTGCTTAGCATTGCAATTCTGCTGTCTGTAAGTTTAAAAGCATTTATCACTTTCATTTTTTAAGTGTCTAACTCGGGCATCAAGTGCATTTTCTAAAATATTCTCTATGAATAATACCTTTGTCTCATCCTCTGTCAATATTATCTACGCTGTATAGTCTGTGGGTGTAATGTTTTGTAATGTTGGTTTCATAGATACATAGGCTGGGCAATATGACAAAAAATGTCTTATTAAAACCAATTAATCAAATTTCTTTCTCTGAAGTCTCATCTCAGTTCCAAACCACTTACTTTTATAGACAGTGGATTGGCTGTGAAGCCCTTAACTGACCAATGACAGACTCTTGATTAAACAATGATTAATTGCACAGCCCCAGGTAGAGGTACAGAATCCAACTCCACTAAATCAGCAATAAAAGATCAGTCCAAAAACATTACCATTCTGAGAAATGAAACTTGCCCAAACTAAAGCTTAATAAACTGTAGGGCTCTGTATATTACAAAGGGCTCTGTATATTACAACAATAAAAACATACAAACATCTAGAGTAAGGTTTTCCATTTATTGTCACAGAACTTTATTTACTCATTCAAAATATTTATATTTGACTGTCAAATTTTGACAGTGTGTATGTCACATCACACAGAAGAGGCCGGTGGGAGGAGTATGATAATGTCACTAATCTGCAGACAGGCAGGCAGATAAACAGCCCAGTCCTTGTGGATCCTGACCAGAGCCAGCTCATCTGCCAAGAGGAACAAATATTCCCACATATGGTTTCTCACTGGACACATTTTAGATTTTGTTTTTTCTCCATAAAGAGCAGAGTTAGAGTATACATATGGTGCTGGAGTATATAAGATGATGCGCAGGTCTCCTAGATGCAGGGTGGAACATTTTGACTTCAGTGAAGAGGTGGTGACTAGTGTGCTCATCTCAGCTCCCAGGTGACTACTTACATTTCACTTTTTACCACCTTTTCTTAAAAGTGCACTATGTAACTTTGCTAGTGGTGGCTCCACCACCTTTTTGTCTCCATGGACATTTTCATCTGCCTGGAATGTTCCAGAGTACAGCATTAAACTTATCAAGCATTCATAATGGGGCTTGCCTCTCCATAGATCTGACCTATAACTTGGCCTAGTAGCATCATCTGATTGTCTGCATGAAGACTGAAATGTTCAGTGTCATACTGTGGAATGTTCCATGATGGAGACAAGAAGTTGGCTAAGCCTCCAGCAGTTATATAATGCATAATATTTTGAAATAAAATATTATTTCTTAAACTTAATATTGTGACAACATTTTTATAAATACACTCACATTTGGTGTATATCTATTCAAATAGTGCGTCACTAAAGAGCTGTCTGCTGTTTCAGATTAAGTGATTATGTCGCGGTTTTAAATCTTTTTCCTGAAGTTTCATGATGTGAAAAGAGCATGTGTGACCTTTATGGGTTTGTATGTAATTATCGATCATCTGTGCAATACTGGTTGTTTGACCCAGACGGTCTATGGTTGGACTGGAGCTTAATTAGTATTGTTTGAGACTGTAGTCAGAAATATTAATCATGAAATATGGAATACAAATATGTTGTACATGAACAATGCTTTACAGTTTAGCGATTCAGAGAGTGGTGAGTGTTTTGGTGGCTGAGAGCATCTGTTGTAGCTGCAGCATTCGCACTTTGACCTTTCACCTCCCCGGTCTATCTGACCTCATCATCTGTTCCTCTCATTACCACTAGTATATGACAGATTACAGCCTCTTTAGCCTCCACAGCAATTCACTGTGTTTACTTTACCTTTACACATCCTGGTCTCCCTGTAATATAAGCTGTGATATTTTTGAGGGTGCCCAATTAAAGTTCATTATTTACTGTAGTTAGCAGTACAGTAGTTATCATTAGGTCTGCACGATTTAGAAAAAAAAACTACAGAAAAACTAAAGAGTAGTTTTTCTGTATTATGTTTCCAATTAAATTTGCTCTAGGATTCTGTTCTGAGTGTACATTGTAAACACATCAGAGAACATAAATTTTTGAGAGCAGGCTTAAAAGTGAACTGATAAATTAATACAAGAATTCCATTCATTACAGAATATGATTGTAGAGGTCTAAAGTTTTGTTTTTTGCAGATGACATTCTGTATATTTAAAGTCTCTGAGATTTGGTAATTGCTCTATATTGCTATAGTTCTAAATATAGCCTCATCTATCCCATGTCTAATAAAATCCCAAATAGACTTGTGGAGCAGCCCCTAGCTTTAATCCTCTGCTACACACAAACAGAGCAGCAGCTGACAGAAAACAGCCCCTCCCCATTCTGATTTGCACTTATTTCTGAAGCCCTTGATGGGTTTTTGGACCAGTGAAGCGTGGGGCTGAATAATCATTTTTGAGAGAGAGGATTTATGATCATGATGTAAAAACACTCACTGTAATGAATGAATGATTTAAAGCTTGAAATCTTTTGTTTCTTGCAGTTTTGATGGTGAGAATGGTCCTTCGTTGTGCTGCAGTCCCTCAGACCCACAGGGTTCTCCAGGATCTAGTCTGGTCCTGCATCCAAACTCAGCCTGCCACGGCCAACGGAGAGAGTCCTTCCTCTACCGCTCTGACAGTGACTATGAGCTCTCACCTAAATCCTTGTCCAGAAACTCCTCTATCGTGGGAGATCTGTGAGTCATATACTATATTTGTTTCAGTGTTTGATATGGTTACTGCAGTCTTTTAAAACAGTAACTAAACTAACTATTATAATATTTGTTAGGCACACCGAAGACTTGATTGTAACTCCCTTCGCTCAGGTAAGAGTACTTTTTATTAACTGTGAGAATTTTAGTTTAGTCATTTCTGTTTATGTACACAAGGTTTGCTTAAAATGGAGCAGCACCATCAAGTGGCTGCATTAAGATGTTACAATCAATACCTTTACTTTAATCCCAGTAGCGCAGACATTATTTGAATTGTCTGGAGCTGAGTTAGGCTTTGTCTTTGTCATATTTTACATTTTACTATTTTAATTATTAATTCATCAGTTTTTCTATTTGCTGAGGTGCCTTCTGGCCAGGTCTCCATTGAAAAAATATTTTTTCTTGAGAGACATCCTCTTAATGGTTAAATAAAATAAATAAAATACAAATTTTAAACTAAAACCTACTTATGTTACAGTCTATTGTATGGACATATTATGCTTAATCAAAACACCAACTTAAAGTGAACCACCATAATAATATCTTCCATTATATAATCAATATAAACAAAATGTATGTTGTTTTTGATGAAATCCTTTGTTGCTTTGAAGGTGCTAGCAAGCCTCAGAACGGTCAGAAACAACTTCACCACTCTGACTAATGTGCAGTGTGTCTCCAACAAGTGAGTAGTTACAATTTTACAGTCAAACATGTGTACTCAGTGAAGTGAAATAGAAAAATATAAGAAGCAATTGAGTAAATGCCGTTTGACAACATTCACCATGTGGGGGCGCCAAAGAATTTATTCCAATTTTGTGGCACATTGAGTTTGTTAGAGACTTTTAAAACCTAGTTTTACGTTTAAGATTTTTAAGTTTATTGGGAGTATTGTGGTGTGCTGGAATGTTTATGAACTTAAAGTATAGTATGAGGAATGAAAAAACTAAACAAAACACAATAATCAGTTTAAAATGCCTTGCTTTTTGAGGGCATGTCGAAGTGAATAGAGGTGGTGAGTATTTCATTTAAAGTGCTCTTGTTGAGAGAATAAAATAAACTAAATAAAAAATAATAATAAGATGAAAATTATGCTAGAAGAAAACCTCCCACTGGAACTACCCTGTTAACTGAAAACACTTTGTCAAAATTGTTATACTATTTTATTTGATAATATAACTAGTGTGAACCATGTAACTTGAGCTGATGACTGAGCTATGAGCAGGTCATTAGCGTATGTGCTGCAGTAGAAATCCTATATAAATATGATTTCTATTTCTAACCACCTAATAATTCTGTTTTCTCAGGAGGTCTCCGGCTGCCAGCCAACCTTCTGTCACCAGAGTGTGTCTGTCAGGTAAATTATGTAAAAATGTTTTCTTGGAAATCCTTATAAGCAATGTTTGTTTGTGTTTTATCTGTGTGCTCATGTTCTTAGAATTGAAAGGCTGGAAAATATTACTTCAACTAGGAGATAAAACATTGGGTACTTCAACTAACCACAAAATGCACCTGTAGTTCTAGTTGGCATAAATTAATTACCCTAATTATCTTCAACAATTTGGTTGCATTCACTGAACCGTGAGTGTTACTTTATCATCCTGATATTTATGAAAGCTGGAACAGCAATATTAATCCTGTGTGCTTTTAGTTTGCACTGCTGGGAAAATTAAGTTTATTTTTTGGCAATACGATAATATATAAACCAAAGATTTAATTAATTAACTTCTATGACTCATTACAGATGAGAAGTGTGATTCTGCTAATGTGCTGTATGGCTGCATGTTTTTTTTAATAATATTGTACGTTTAGAAGAGTTTTTGTGATTTAAACCTGTCTATGGGTTGTTGTATCAGTGGCATAAAATTGTTTCATTATTATCATTGATCATCTGTATTCACTTAATCAATATATTCCATTTTAAAATTTGTTATCATAACAGGCCTAGGCTGTAGTAGTTTTATAAACAACTGGTAAACCTCCAATGTTTACTGCTTTTATGATTTGTACATTTTATTATGTTTATATTTTGTTTGTATTAGATGCAGTAAAATTAGCTTTCTGCACTTTCAAATCAAAATCAGATGTTTTTTGGGTTTTTTACCCTTTTATTGGCACCATAATTCTGCAATGTGCCTTTGGATAATCTTAATAAGTTATTTGGATGATGGACAAGCTTAAATTTAGTTAAAGTTCTCCAGTGTCAGATATCATGCGTGCGAATGCAGAAGATGAGCCGGTAGTTGGAGGCGGTATATGATTGGTTCCTGATGCTCTGGTTCCTCAGTCCTGGATTGACGTCAGAGTGGCTCAAACACACTTCCTATCAGCACAGATGGACTATAGACTCGTCCATCGGCAGGAAAAAATACAAGACAAGCGACGGGCTCGTATTGTGCGTCCTCCTCCCCTCTTCTCACAAACCTTGACCTTTCTCAAGTAATCACAAACTCCTAGCTCTCCCCCTGGCCTTCATTGTGACGCATGTGGGAGATAGTGTGCTTAAACAACACGATTAAATGTGTAAAATGTAAAAAGATGCAGAGGACATTTTTATTCAAGGTCCTCAACTTTTGGTGAGTGTGTAGAACATACAGTCCCGGACTCCTGCCAGTCTATCAAGATTATTGTTTTACAGGATCATAACTTCGTCATCAGTCATACCGGAAAGCAGAACAGATTTTTCCTGTTTTCTCTCTCAAATTTTGTGAAGGAAATGCCATCAATACAGGAACACACAATAAGTATCATTTGAGCCTATAGCACAATGTTAAAAATATCATTGGACATGTCACACTTCTTCTAATTTGTGTTAAATCAATAAAAAGAGGAGCAAGGCTGTGATATGCATTCCGAGCCCAGGTCTACAAGGGTGCAAAAGAGTACACTGCACCCTCATTTGAAATACATAGTTTTGCTATACCTCTGCTGGTACATTCAGATATTTTTTATTTATTTATTTGTTTACCAAACATTTATAAGCAGTTTTTGCAAATTACGTATATACAAATGTAGCAAAAAAGGGAACTCCCCAGAGGATGGTTTAACAAAAAAGTGCATAGTTTTAGTAGTGGTATAATTCCATGTTTGTTTTGTTCACAAACCGATACAAATATTCAAATTTCCACCATTGGTTTTCCGGATTCAAAGGAGTAAACAGAAGCAGAAAACGTGACGAGGAAAACCCAAGTCCGGCACAAACTGAAAAGAGGTTATCTTTCAAATCAGCTCAGCCTAAACTGCGTCACTGTGGCTTGTTTTTGCTGTTACAGATCTGGCTGTAGAACGTGAGGGGATTGTAGTTTCCTCATGTGAGTTTGCTCTTAACAAGCTTTACAAATCATAGTGACCCTATCAACAAGGTCTTGACAAAGGACTCCCTCTTCTCAAACTCCTTCAGATTATACACTTATTTCTCTATCACGTTTGATAAAAACAGTCTGTGCCAGGTTATGACGTCTGTAAGCATCAAGGGCTGGTAAATAATCCGCTAGATTTGAGTATGTTACAGAAACTTGGCCCACAAGGTTAGGAGTGGTTAGGGATGAGAGCTCACCGAGGCTGAGAAATCTTACATTTGTGTCAGAAGAAGTCAATGTTTGTACTGAACTGACTTAAGAGGTAGAACAGAGTGTGAAAATGATGCATCACAACAAAACTCAAATTTAGTTCATTGGTATCGCACATTGAAACAGATTTGACATTTTTATTTTTAACGGATATGGAAGTGCTCACTGTTGACTGTAAACTGTGAGAGATATTGACTGATTGATTAAATGTGTATTTTGACATCTATTTGGATAATCGATGATGATATTTAGTTAATTCTATAGCATTTAGTCTAAAATGTGATAAAAATGTGCCTATCGGTGTGTATTAGTGTGGGTTGATATATATATATATATATATATATATATATATATATGTTGTAGCCATTTATGGGGTTACAGCCCCGAGTGCTCCGATCACCACGGGCACCACGCCTTCACTTTCCAAGCTTTCTCCAGCTCCTCCTTGAGCCCCTAGTATTTTTCTCATTTCTCATGTTCCTTTTTCCTGATATTACAATTGCTTGGTATTGCAATGTCCACCACCACGGCTCTGCTCTGTTTCTTATCCACCACCACTATGTCTGATTGGTTCGCCATCACCATCCTGTCAGTTTGTATCTGGAAGTCCCACAGGATCTTGTCATTCTCCACAACCTCAGGAGGTGTTTCCCACCTTGATCCTGGGGTTTCCAGCCCGTACTCTGCACAGATGTTTCTGTACACTATGCCTGCCACTTGGTTATGTCGCTCCATGTCTGCTTTCCCTGCCAGCATCTTACACCCTGCAGTTATGTGCTGGACTGTCTCAGGAGCCTCTTTGCACAGTCTACACCGTGGGTCTTGTCTGGTGTGGTAGATCTGGGCTTCTATTGCTCGAGTGCCCAGGGCCTGCTCCTGAGCAGCCAGGATGAGTGCCTCTGTGCTGTCCTTCAGACCAGCCCTCTCAAGCCATTGGTAGGATTTCTTGATATCAGCCACTTCAGTTATGCTCCGATGGTATACCCCGTGTAAGGGCTTGTCCTGCCATGATGGTCCCTCCAGCATCTCTTCCGTTGGACCCCACAGTCTGAGACATTCTCTGAGCACTTCATCTGTCGGGGCCTTGTCCTTGATGTACTCAAGGAGTTTGGATGTTTCATCCTGGACAGTGGTTCCCACACTCACTAGTCCTCGGCCTCCTTCCTTCTGGCTTCGCGTACAGTCTCAGGGTGCTGGATTTGGGATGGAACCCTCCATGCATGGTCAGGAGCTTTTGTGTCTTAACATCTGTGGTCTGTATCTCCTCCTTTGGCCAGCTTATGATTCCTGCAGGGTATCTGATCACTGGCAGGGCGTAGCTGTTTATTTCCTGTGCCTTGTTCTTGCCATTGAGCTGGCTTCTTAGGACTTGTCTCACTCTTTTGCAGGTATTTGGCCGTAGCCGCTTTCCTTGTTGCCTCTTTGAGGTTGCCATTTGCTTGTGGGATACCAAGGTACTTGTAACTGCCCTCAACGTCTGCTATTGTTCCCTCTGGAAGTGTGACCTCCTCTGTGTGGACTACCTTCCCTCTCTTTGCCACCATCCTGCTACATTTCTCAAGCCGGAATTACATTCCAATGTCTGTGCTGTAGATCCTGGTGGCGTGGATCAGTGAATCGATGTCTCACTCGCTCTTAGTGTACAGCTTGATTTCATCTATGTAGAGGAGGTCACTGATGGTGGCTCTGTTTCTGAGTCGGTATCCGTAGCCAGTGCGGGTGATGATTGGCTGAGGGGGTTCAGGCCTATGGAGAACAGCAGTGGGCACAGTGAGTCTCCTTGGTATATGCCACATTTGATGGACACTTGTGCAAGTGGCTTCCCATTGGCTTCAAGGGTGGTTTTCCACAACCGCATCGAGTTTGCAATGAAGGCTCTTAGAGTCCTATTGATATTGTACAGCTCCAAGCATTCAGTGATGTGTGGCATTGAGTCGTAGGCTTTCTTGTAATCAATCCAGGCAGTGCACAGGTTGGTCTTATGGGTTCTGCAGTCATGGGCGACTGTTCCGTCAACCAGGAGTTGGTGTTTGGCTCCCCTGGTGTTTTTGCCGATACCCTTCTGTGCTGCACTCCAGTATTGATCCATGTGCCCCCTTATCTTAGCCTCGATGATGCCTGACATGAGCTTCCATGTTGTGGAGAGACAGGTTATTGGCCGTTAGTTGGATGGGACTGCACCCTTTGAGGGATCCTTCAGGATCAGGATCGTATGCCATTCAGGGTGAGTCCCATCCCATAGCAGCTGGTTCATTTGTGCTGCCAGGCGCTCGTGGAGGGCAGTGAGCTTATTTAGCCAGTATGCGTGGATCATGTCAGGGCCTGGTGCGGTCCAGTTTTTCATACCTGAGACTCTTTCCTGGATGCCTGCTACTGTGATGGTGACTGGATTCTGTTCAGGGAGGTTGCTGTCTTCTTCTCTCAGATCCACCAGCCACTGTGCATCATTGTTATGTGGTGCCTCCCTCTCCCACATGCCTTTCCAGTACCTTTCAGTCTCCAGCCACTGAGCGTACACTTTTGCCGTTGTGTTGCGAACGGCCAGTTTATTTGTATGGCTTCTTTATCTCGTGTGTACCTCTTTAGGCGGTTGGCCAAGGCTTGGAGCCTTTGTTTGGCAGTTTTGAGTGCTTCAAATATGGGGATCTGGCTGCACCTCTTGGGTACTTGCTTTTTCATTGCACCTTTCTGGGCCTCTGACAGTTGGCTCACTTCTCTCCACACCTCCTTGATTTTAGCCTCTAACCGTTTTTTCCATGGTGGGTATCATATCTCATGGCTCCCATGG